ACTCTGCAGGAATAACTAGTCTGAACAAAAAGCTCACAGTTTTGATTACACGTTAGTGATGGAATATATTTTATGTGAGGATGTGAAAATTACATTTAGGGATGTTATTGATTTTAATTAGTTGACACTGTGTTCTTATTTCCTGTATTTCCCTTAGTAGCTTAGAAAGTCTCTGTAATGTCTGATTGAGCTCATGTGTGGATAGAGCCGCTCAGTGTCACATTGAGGGAGGGTGTGTTTATGAGATTTATGTTGCAGCTGGCATGAAAAGAGAATAAAACAAACATTCAAAAGTCAGAAGAATATGCATTTTCAAAAAAAATGCCATTGAAAATGTTTTACTTGAAAGACACAACATTTGGGATTTCAAAGAAAGGCAGGAGACACTGTTCAGATACTAGGCGGCATTGGAACCGCCATGTTGTCTGCATCATGTGCTGTCTCCTGCAGTCATACCCCTCACCTAAACCACAAAGTACTTCCAGCTATACTCAGAACACTTATGGACAATCTCCTGTTGTGCTCTATGTGGAACAGAAACTCAGGACATTAGCTACAAATACAATATACCTTAGATAGCATGTCAACATTGAATGCAAAAGTTCGAGTGGCTTTGTGAACAATTTCTAACCTTAGAGAACCTGTTTCAGCATAAACCTGTGCACACAGAGAGATAGACAGTAGATTTGTCCTTAATAAACACTGCAGGCCCTGAATTCGATCCAGTATGCAGAACAAAGCACAACCAGGACACCTTTCATCATGCTGAACAGAACACATCAATAAAAGCTAAAACCATACCGAGATGAATGAGTATTAGAACTCTCATGTCTCTGTGTTGTCATTAAAATGATGGCTACCTCGGGTGCACCCTGTCTTGAAGCAGCTTGAGGACTACTGTCACAGTGAGTATGTTCCTTTTCTAAAATGAGCAAATTTAGCATTTGATTTACTACTTCACTAAACCTGACCTCAGACTCCTTGTGGAGGAGGACCACAGCAAAGGGAGAAAACCTGCGCTGATCGATAAAGCATTGCATTATTGTTAATCAATCTGCTTGCTGCAGCGCTTCTTCTTCTCTTTCCTGTCCTGACTTTTCACCCAGTGTCAGTTTGACTTTGAGATACATGGACACATGCATCAAAGTGTACACTTACGGAATGGTTCTCTGTCACATGCACACCCCCCCCCCCCCCCCACACACACACACACACACACACACACACACCATAAGGCGCCCTTGTCAGGTATCGAATAGTCAATGCTGCAGAGCAGAGAAGAAGCCATGCTTATTCATGTGTGATAGTGCAGCAGAGGACCCAGCTGGGAGTGTGTGTGTGTGTGTGTGTGTGTGTGTGTGTGTGTGTGTGTGTGTGTGTGTGTGTGTGTGTGTGTGTGTGTGTGTGTGTGTGTGTGTGTGTGTGTGTGTGTGTGTGTGTGTGTGTGTGTGTGAGAGTGAGAGAGGGAGAGAAAAGCAGATATTTTGTATGTGTCGGAGGCATGATTGCATGTGTGTGAGAGAACAAATGTATGTGTGTGTGTGTGTGTATACACACCTGTCAGTTTGAGAAAACTCACTCACCTGTGACGTCCTCATTCTGTCTCTCTGTAAGCCGTCTCCGAGAGTGCTCCTCTCAAAGGCCCAGGCAACACACGCACACGCACACACACACACACACACACACACACACGCACACACACACACACACACACACACACACACACACACACACACACACACACACACTCACACTCACAGTCATATCAGCCATGGGCAGGTGTTGAGATCACTGACTTCTAAAGAGGATTTCACCTATGGCAGTTTGAATGTGTGCCATGTATTTTCACACTGAGTAATGAATGCTCACCCTCTTTCTCAGTCTTGCATGTGTGTGTGCGTGCACATCAGAGGGAGACAGGTCGGAGGGAGACTGACAAAAAAAGAAAGTCTGAGAGGGAGGGAAAATATGAGCTGCATGTGGAGCTGTGTATATTTTGCGTCGGAGCTGTGCAGTTTCTAACAGTGACTCGTCAGTTTTTCTGGGACATCACAGGTCGGGCTTTGTTGGAGTGACAGCGGTGATGAATCCTGTAGGACACAAACTCCCACACACACAACTGGAGACGCTTCTGTGATGCAGTAAAGCTGCATTCTTCCATCTAGTGGCCACATATGCACACACATAGGCAGGGCCGTCCCTGGCCAACTTGGGGCCCCAAGCGACATTGTGAGATGAGGCAGACAGAGAGAACCACACAAACACAGGTGACTGGGTTTCAGTTGCAGCATGGTTAACATGCTTGAAAGCTATTGAATGATATTGAAACTATTGGCTGCCTTTGTAAGAAGAGTGTTTACTTATGAATCGATAATCGAACCAAATACTTTCTTTAAAGTTCTGTTGTGTTTATAAATGTAAGTCAAATGTGTTGGAGTCAGACAATCCTAACACAAGTGTTGCATATCTCAGACAAGACTAAAGAATGTGGTGCCACAGCAGTGTCTGGACCTGAACATGACAAATACAAATAAGAAAATAACTCTATTAGGGCCAGAATTACTCCTTAGGCCACTGTTGAATTTGAGAATGACATCTATTAACTTATCTTTTTAAATAAGAGTTCACAAAGTCTGAACATTTAAAGTAGAATTAACAATTCATCTAATTATCAGCAGACTGCTGCCTGAACTGGGAGTGAACTCCTGGCCTTTTGATTGGTTGTCAACACCCTCCACAGGGACACTAATTCCTTGGCAACAGATTATTTCACTTTGAGGATAAATGTGATGCTGAGATCCCCCCCCCCCTCCGCCAAATCACATGATTCATCAGCAGTGTGTGTGTGTTGAAAATGATCTGATTGCATCTGTATTCTTAATATTTGGTGTCGTGTGTCAATGAATAATTCAAATGTACTAAATTAAAACTGGTGTGTTTGTGTGTGTGCACTGTGAGTGCAGCAAACATCACTTCTTCTGATGGTCCGAGTGAAAAAGACAGCTGCCACGTCACACTGCAATTATGCCATTACAGAGTTGATGATGGTCTGCATGCCTCACTGTGACCACACACACGCACGTGCACACACACACACATACACACACTCTCTCTCACATACTCTAATCACATGTCCCCACATGTAAATGTAAGCACACTCATCAGATTGATTACTCCTGGAACATATCACATAAAGCACATTGCAGTGCAAACACCTATTCATTAATCAACAGCTGCTACACAAAGACAAAAACACACATGGTGTCCTATATAGAAACATAATAGCTATATGTACACTGAAGTATATGGTCTCAATATTGTAATGTATTTATTCAATCAGGAACATCATTCGTATGTCCTTTTTCTCAGTTGCCTTAGTACCTTTTGCCTTGCCTCGCCCGTGCCCAGGGACAGTGTCACATCAGCCTATCACTGACTTGACTTGATAACAGAAGGGGTTAAAAGTTCCCACTTTAACGCACATACATAGAAACCCTTTCTCTCCCTTTTCGTACTGTTGGATTGTCTAATCCCACTGATGCCCGGCTGCTGCTTTTTATATTTTTGAGACATTGCGCTATAAGCGAGACTTTCTAAAATACTTCCAGGTTAGCGAAGGAAACTGAGGATTAGCTTAATACATGTTTCAGTCTTAGAAGCTGTAGGTTGACAGCTAGTAGCACTTAAAATAGTGTCTTTCTACTTTTGCATTCTGCTCTTAATAAAATAAAGTATCAGCGAAACAGCATTTATTCCCACCATTAAAATGTACCTAATGGGCTATTAGAGTCAGACATTAAGTAGTGAGTTTAACTGGATCCTAAAACCTGACTGTTTGATACAGGCTTTTTGGACAGCTCCTTAGTGGACTCTCACATTGTGTGCGTGTGTGTGTGTGTGTGTGTGTGTGTGTGTGTGTGTGTGTGTGTGTGTGTGTGTGTGTGTGTGTGTGTGTGTGTGTGTGTGTGTGTGTGTGTGTGTGTGTGTGGTCTAGCATTACTATACTTGTGGGGACCTACATCTGTTTACACAGTCACGTGTGGGGACTGGCCTCCCTTATGGGGACAAATTGGAGGTCCCCATAAGGGGAATCATTAATTTTAGGGTCAAGACTTGGTTAGGTTTAGGGTTAGGTTAAGGGTTAGGGTTAGGGTTAGGGTTAGGGTTAGGGTTAGGCATGTGTTGGTTATGGTTAAGGTTAGGATAAGACTCCAGGAAATGCATGTAAATCAATGTAATGTCCCCTGAAGGGATGTATACATGGTGTGTGTGTGTGTGTGTGTGTGTGTGTGTGTGTGTGTGTGTGTGTGTGTGTGTGTGTGTGTGTGTGTGTGTGTGTGTGTGTGTGTGTGTGTGTGTGTGTGACACATGCATTCAGTATGGTCGTTCTTGTACTTTATATGATTTTTGGGGATGATGGAATGAAATAATTCAGATGGATAAACAATTGGACTACAAATAACTAAATAATCATATCATAATAAAAAGTAATACAAATTCAAATACATGGATAGATTCAGAAGCAGAATACTGTTTTAATCCCGGGGTGAAAGCATTCATTATATAATGAATCAAATACAAAATAAGAAGATAATTGCATTCAAATAAAATCAATAAATACAAATATGTATTTCCAATAATAAATACAAATAAAAATATTTATCATCAAATAAAGGTATCTTCGATCAGGATATTTATCATCAAATTATAATTTTTATTTGGTGACTCATTATTTTGGTTTCTTTCGTGTCCATTATAATAATACAAAAGTAGTTTGGATCCAGATTGCACACAGAGCCCTATAATATAATCTATCTATACGGCGCTGATTGCTTATTATTTGACTTTAACTTTAACTATATATATTTATTTGTTGTTCTTTTCTTTTCACTATATCTGTAAAGCGTCTTTTAGCACCTGTAAAAGCGCTAACAAAATAAATCTATTATTATTATTATTGCACACGCTCTCTACGACTGACGTCAGCGTGCGGCTCACGTGGTTTCTCCTCCTCCAAATGACGTCATCACGCATGGTTTTCCAACAATTCTCAGGACAAGCCACGTTGACGTTCCAGGCTGAAGTGTAGTCAACAGTTAGACAGAATAAAGCAGGATTTGAGCTCCACGCCGCTGTTTGCTCTCTCTTCAGATTCAGGATCACAGCAGACATGTCGTCCCCGCCGAAGGAGAAAATGGAGAAAGTGGAGACCAAAGGAGGACACCTCCCTGCAGGTAAACCCCCACGCTGCTAGCCTGATGTTTCTGAAAGCTTCCTGTAAACTGAAGGCCTTTGTTTACTGCAGCCTCTCAAATCAAGATATCACATGACGGTGAATAAGGCTCGAGCAATCACTGCAGTTGAAGGCTGTTAGCATGTACGATTGACAGTAATCGGCTATGTTGCTCAATTTCGCACATTTCCTTACTTCCGGATTGGCGAAAACACACATTGTCGCGTGTGTTTATCATGGCAGCTTTTTAGTAACATAGTGTATCGAAGCTGGATGCCGATGACGTGGAGGTCGCAGTGTCCAGTGGTGTAGGGCATGCTGAGTTTAGGTGTACGTGGACATGAGGCGATCACTGGGTCTCTGCTGCTACACAGAAAGATAACACGTGGCCCTTTGCCCCTACCTGTGATAAGGGTGCCCCGCACATACAGATCACTGTGCTACAGCTAGCAGGTGTGCTCATGGAGGCCAGGGGTTGAACTCCTCTTAGCTCAGGGGCCACATGCACAGGGGTGCACATAACTTTTTTGCCCTGGTTCTCAAAGGAGCACCTGGAGATGTTGCTTGGTGCTCATCCTTAAAATGAAATAAACCGTAACTTTTGAGGGGGTCTTGACTTTATTTGCCAGACACACGGCACTGAACACACATGCGGAGGTGAACACAGAACACACATGCAGAGGTGAACACAAGACAACATTAGCACGACCAGTAATCCTACAAACTGTCATCACTACCCTCCTGACTGTTCTCCTCACTGTCTTCCTCTCTGTCAGACATGGTAGCTGATGATGTAGGCCTACTACTTTCTCTCTGGTTGAGTCTGTGATTAGCTGCTTGCATCCACAAGTCAACAGCTAGTTTTGGGTCGAAAGTCTATGTTGTCATCTTAGACAAGTGGATGTAATCAAATAAGTATGTGAACATAACCAATAACCTACCATAGCCAATAACAAATGAATGTAACTTGTTTTATTTGTGTTGTTCATTCATATCTTATTTTACCTTAACATTTATTTATTTATGCATTTTTTTTAAATCTCCAGTTTTAAAGGATATTTTTGGTTACTGTCCTATAGTATACATTGGAATGATTTAAAACCTGTGTATCCCAATAATTACAAAGGAGTGCCTTACATAAATTGTGACCCAACCGTTTGAATTTAGACTAAGAGTCCTTTACCTCACTGAGCTGTAGTTAACTTATCAGCCTCTCAGTCTGACTGGAGAGGACTCTCCCTCCACATTATTGTAGAAACATCTTCTTCTTCCGTTAGAGCAGCTAGCACGGCACCAGATTATAATAACAACAGCGCTGGTACCACCCTCCCTCTCTACCTCGCATTTTGGCTGTGAGCTGCGGGCGCCAGATAAGCCAACACCCCCCATTTTCATCACTTACAGCGCCCATCGTACAGGGCAAATGAAAGGTGGAACCGGGGTGAAAAGGGTGTTACATTTACTTAATTGTGAATATTGTTACATCAAGGCCGAAAATTAGGATGAGCCCCAACGGTCAAAATGTTTTTTTCCCTCCCAGAACTGCCAGCGCAGCGCCTCCACAGATCTGGCGCCCTAGGCGAACATCTAGCCAGCGCTACGGGCCGGCCCTGAGTTCATATCATAGGTTCATATGCAACTCGCAAATATCTTCTCTCTCTTTTCTCTCTCTCTCTCTCTCTCTCTCTCTCTCTCTCCTCTCTCTCCTCTCTCTCTCTCTCTCTCTCCGCTCTCTCTCTCTCCTCTCTCTCTCTCTCTCTCTCTCTCTCTCATCTCTCCTCTATTTTCTCTTTTCTCTCTCCTTCTCAATGTTGGTACGCAAATGCGCTTTGTTTCAAATGACCCGGTGCTCTTTTTTTGGCGGAGGTGCGCATGCGCACCTGCGCACCAGTTATGTGCAGCCCTGCACATGCAGCCAAATGTGATCTCAAGTGGGCAGGACCAGTAGAATCATATCATAATAGCCCGATGTTTTAGTGGAAAGTACATTCTGAAAATGTCAACATCTTTTAACATAACATTATAAACATCCTGACATTTCTTAAGTAAAATAAGTGCAAAGGCTCAAAACATTTGGTCACAGGCATCTGGAACTGGACAATATAATGGCTAATATTTTACTTTATCAAAACAACTTGTCAACATTATTTTGTGTGTTAAAATAACACACCACCGTACAAACTGGGAACTTTTAGGGAAGAAGGTTAAGTTATCCCCCTGCCTTTTAAATGTATACAAGTTGTGAGAATTGCAGTTAATGTCTTCTCTGTCATTTTTACACTTTGCAAAGTCACCCCACCCTGCTCTCCAACTAATGTATCCATCTTTACATCAAAATAGTTCATATATATTCTAGTGAAGTACCATTAGTAACTTTCCAAAATGTATATTTTTCCTAACGAGACAAAAACAGTATGGCTCTACTCTCATATATCTTTCTATTCACTCAATTCATTGATAATGAACGTGTGAACTATTGTCTCTTGTCTCTCTGTTTGTGTTGCAGTAAAGGCAGGAGGGATGAGGATTGTGCAGAAGCACCAGCCGGTTGCTGCTGCTGCTCCAGAGCCTGTGCCCAAAGATGATGAGGAGGAGGATGAGGAGGAGTACGTCAGCAGCAGGTAAACACACAACAGCACACACACACACACACACACACACACACACACACACACACACACAAAGAGTACTCAGGTCCTACTGGGCAGCGGTCCAACAGGAGAGAGGCTCTGAGCTGTGACTTGGCTTTCTTTTTGCAAAGTCCATCACATGACAAAAATATAATTAAAATAGATCAAGTGTAGTGTATAAGCTTGCTCTTCCTCCATGTTCGTGTGAGCCTTTGCAACTAAATGAGGGGTATAGTGTAGCACTGCTAGGGGACACAAGGGTTTACAAGCTGTTTACAAGTAGTTCCAGCAAACATCCACTGATAAACTGCGATGTTAACAACCTCGTGATAACCTCATATGTTTTTAACTTAGGATTAGGGATGCTCCGATCGCCAATTTTGGGGCCGATCGCCGGAATCAGTATCGGCCGATACCGATCGTCGATCCGATCGAGTGGGCGGGGCCTAAATGGAAGATTTAAACATCACTTTAAATCTTCCATTTAAAGTGATGTTTAAAACTCAGTTAATGGGGCTCATTCACTGGAGCTTCCACAAACAACAATCAACTCAATTATTACATTCAAATGATGTACATTATTCAAGTTTACATTCACTTTGGATAATAACACGGGAGAAATGAGCGGAAGCGCTCTCTTTTCCTCTCTCTCTCTCCCTCTCCTGACAGCCTGTCAGTATCTCATGCAGCTCACTGATCCAGTTATGAGTGACCCGACAGTGAAGAATAAACATATATTTAGAACTAGTTCAGCTTGTTCCAGAGGTAGATAAAATAGCTAAGTGTGTTAGGTCTAACTCTTGTGTGTTTCGCTCCGCTCACCGGTCCGGCGGGCGGAGCTGCAGGATTTCTGCTTCACACACGTTGCATACCGCTATTTTACTGTCTTTTTCGGACACCTTAAAATAATGCCAGACCGGTGAAGCCATTTTGGCGAGCTTGTTTTGCCGCACAAAGAGAAAAGTGTCATGTATTTTACGTCATGCGATCGGCTCTCGCGATCGGCATGTTTAGAGAGCACCGATCGATCGGGGGAGAGTGAGTATCGGCCGATCTCGATCGGTGACCGATCGATCGGAGCATCCCTGTGTTTAGTCTAGAAAATGGTAAATGTGTGCATTTTATTATAAAGTTGTGTATATTTTAGGGCTGTCAAGTTAACGCGTTAACGCAAAAAAAAAATACCGCCACTAATTATTTTAACGCGATTAACGCATGTGTTTTTTTTTTCCTCGGCCGCCCCGTAGTTTCAGTGCGCATCGAGTTTAAAATACCGTCTACAAGCTGATGCTGACAGCCCCGCTCCTGCCGCCCGCTTGTGGCAGACCACACTTCCACGCTCACCGGCAGGCACCGACTGGCTAATGGGAGGACCGGGAGGGTGTGTGTATGTGTGGCCCGAGGGAGAGACCTTACGCGTATTGTTGTTGTTAGCATCTGGTGCTAGCTAGCTGCGCTAACGGATATAAGGAGCTGTTTAAATGAAAACAGAGGAGCGACATTTCGCCACAACTGCGCCGAGCACTTGACTTTATGCAGGAAGCCAGATAGTGGGACATTGTACGAAAAGTCAGCACAGATAGTGCGCGCAACATGATTGCAGGCAGCTCCCGTTCGACGAGCATATGCCTTGAGTTGCACATAGCTCCAACGATCCATCACACACACACACACACACACACACACACACACACACACACACACACACCAGTTGTATTGTATTATTGAATGAGAAAGGTTCCAGGTTGAATTGAGGCGAATATTTGTAATGTTCAAAGGTTGTTGTGTTTAATATTCATGAGAATATTTGTCATTGTTCAAATGATAATAAACATTAGCATAAAGCATATTTGTCCACTCATATGTTGATAAGAGTATTAAAAACTTGAAAAATATTCCTCTAAGGTACATTTAGAACAGATCAAAAATGTGCGATTAATCGCGATTAAATATTTTAACCGACTGACAGCCCTAGTATATTTACAGACTGTTGCAAAAACTAAGAAGCTTATAAACATCAGGTTTAAAACTAAATGAGCTATACAAAAAAGTAACACAATTAAAGACGTTTGGAGTTTTATTTTGAGTTATTAATTTACATTTTTTGTCAAAGAGACTCTGATTTCCTTTTTCTGCCGGAGAGAGCGGAGGCCGTCCCAAAGCTTGCCGCTGTATTTACTCCATCTGACAGGAGGGAGCCTCATGTGTCACTCCACGGAGTTCACTCCGTCACGGAGGGGGAGTGTGTAGGGGTAGGGCGTGGTTTGGGATTGGGCCACAGTGTCTCTTATTTTGGTGACACGAGTGGGACCTTGGACAATGGAATGCAATGTTTTGTTTGTTTTTGCCTCTCCTTGTTTGTGTACCCTCCCTCACACTAAAGCAGTGGTTCTCAAATGTTTTCTGTCAGGCCCCCCCTTTGGAGAAAAAAAAAAGTGGGCCCCCCCCCCAACACAAATAGTCAGGCTCAGTGGCGGCGCCAGAGATTTCTTTTGGGGGTGTTGTGGGGTAGCTTGACGTTTTGAGGGTTTCGCATTAATGTACCAGCGCTACAGTTGAATTTTCTACTGCAACACTCCCCACATGCATATACACAGTGTACCCGCGACTGTTTTCAGCTCACGGCATATAGGTGTAAGCAGGGGTAAAGTGCTATTTTTGTAGGTGGTGTGTGGACCTCACATAGGGGGGTCCGGGGGCAAGCTCCCCCGGGAACATTTATTTTTAAATATTGAAGTTGAAAGCATCAATCTGGTGCACTTTGAGAGCAACATGAAGAGATCTATGGATACCTCTCAACACCCATTTGAAACAGAACTGTAAAAAGATTTACTTTTTCTTTATGGATATTTTACAAATCACCCTTTTAAACTTTATTCTTGTTTTACTGTCATATACTATTTTATACCTGTTTTTCATTTATTCTCTTATTTTTATATATAAGAGAGTCCTTTAGCTCACTGAGTCTCTCAGTCTGACAGGAGAGGACCCTCCTCCACTTTGTTGTTGAAAAAACTCCTTATATCCGTTAGCGTAGCTCGCTAGCACCAGAAGCTAACAACAACGATCTCCGGTACCGGTGCGCTCTCTCTCTCTCACTCGCGCACACAAAATGGCCGAGCTTTAACGAAAACACAGAGACCCAGACGTAATAGTACTGTACTGCATCATATTATTTTCGAATCAATAATCTTTCAAATTATGATTTATTTTATTTTTGTTTAATATCTTTTAAACATTTTTCCTCCTGGTCTCTCGCGCCCCCCACTTTGAGAACCACTGCTGTAAAGCGTCTTTGAGTCCGAGAAAAGCACTATCAAAATATAATTCATTATTATATCCAGGCCTCGGTGGCCATTGTCCCTTAATCCGTCCATGCTCACAGTAAAGACAGGCAGCTACATGCATTCACTGCAGAGCTAAAACTGTTTCAGTACTCTCTGCCGTTAAACTCTGTGCAATGCGAGACTCGGTGGTGATTTGTGCGGTGTGAATCACACTTACACACACCCTACAAGTTGTCAAGTAAGCCATTTAGCCACTTCCACATTTCCATACGGCTGTACTGGAGGCAGTTTCGCAGCAGACTTGTGCAATGTTGCCAGCCAATTTGGTAAACAACATAATTACTGCATAATTACAGCATTAACTTGAACAGCCCATTCAGCAGTCGCTATTGTTTGCTATAAGCAGCCGCGGTTTACATGTTTTACATCTCACTGGCTCTAAATTCAGAGAAACAATAACTGTTCTCCATGATTATCTATATTGCCATGTTCGGCTTTGGCTTCTTGAATCCATTGTTTCTACCTATGTTTCTGAGTTCTGCGAGGTGGGGAAAGTTGATGCTTATTTTGTACTGTTATTGTGTGTATGCAACTGTCAAGAAATGTTGTGTGTGCACTTTAACACACAACCTCATACACACCCTGAAGTATATAGGCTGTGTTACATGTTCTTCAGCTGTGCTTGTTGTTTGAGTGTTTCCTGTAATTAAGAGCAAGCCTGTCAGTGGCAATAAGTCATTTCCTTTTGCTTCCGTTTCATTTGTGTCAAGACAAGCGACATAATAGACAAAGCATAAAAGTGAAAGAGGTAGATAACGATAATAGAAAAGCAACGTGCAAGCCTGGCTTATTCTTCTCGTGGTTCATTCCTGCTCTAGAGGCCGACTCTGGTCAAAGTGTACATGTAAGGGATGTTTTGATAAGATAAAGATAAGATCTACTTTATTATCTCAATTTGGGATTTTTCGTTGTTGCAGCAGATCAACAAATCAATTCAGTTCAAAATTAAATAAATACTTCATTATTTGCCCAATATCTAAGTGTTTGTTCAGTGAAGATATACCAAGGGGTCCAAGCTTCCAAAATGTGCATTTAGACTTCAAATAATGTCTTTGTGCAGTTTGTATGTCGTCATCTAATTTAAAGTGGACCTATCATGCTATATTTTAATAATATATTGTAGGGCCATACCTATATAAAACGTGTCTGCAAAGTTTTTTTTTCAAATACCAAACAGATCATGCATTTTAGCCATGCCTCATTTCGCTCTATTTGCTCTTTTTTAGCCCTGTTTTTGAAAGGGCTGAATCTGTGAGAAGTCTTCTTCACTGCTTTTGTGGCAGACTACAGCGCCACCTACAGGCCTGGCATATGTACTACATCGTCTCCAGCGCTTTCGAACGGCAATGGCCGTGGCTGTCTCCTCCTGATAGGTGGAGAGTTGCCCATATAGGCGGAGCTCCTCGTTTCTGAGGTCAGAGATATTTCAAATCTGTATCAGATCCGTTGCAGCCCCGTTTTTAGAGATTTGGGTATGGAGGAAAAGAGAGAGGGTTGTGTTTTCTGACACTTGGTGAGTTCTCTGACACACCGGGGACACATATTGATGTATAAAACATGTACAAAAGTGCATTTTGCATGATAGGTCCCCTTTAAAGATGGTAGACAAACCAAATCAATGTCTGCTCTGTAATTTAAGATTTTGTGGCGTTAAATATCTGCAACTCTTTTCCCTCATGTAAACGAGCCACATATCTCTCCAGAGCCATACAGGGTTTAAAAGTTGCCCTAGTATGTATTCCTCTTGAAGTCAAAGAAGAGGAATCATTACTTGGGCTGTGTAAATAAATTAAGCAAATGGTGATTTTGAATCCCTGAGGAAAACCATTTCAATCCTTTTACTTGATAAACTCCTCTTGGCCCGGCTGTGTGAACGCCGCCTGTGAAATATTTATCTTTAACTAAAAATGACCCATTCAAAAGAGGGGCTGAGTCACTGCACACATCAGTGAGTGCAGTCGGTGAAACTCTCACACACACACACACACACACACACTCTGTCTGTCCCTGTCCATGTCACGCTGATGGACGTCTAGCAGGTGGCTACTGGGTACATTTCGCATTAGAAGCAGCCAGTGAAGCGTTGTAGTCAGGGGAACACCTGCCGTACCCAATCTAGCCGAGATGGACAGATGGGGCAAAGGCAGAGAGATAGGTGGCTGGGATTAGTGCGAGGGGAAATATTATGGTATGGAAAGCGGGGGATGCCATGGCAATATAAAGATAAGAAAAGGAAAGGTTTCACTTAGTATGAGAGGGAGTTCTAGGAGATGGGTAGGGTTGATAAGACAAGAAAGAGAGGCTTATGTCAGATTAAGCTGGTGACTGGACTAACGTTCAGGTGAATCCATGTGGAGAGGGAGGTAAATGCATGCTTGTTTCATCACTTAGCATTTCTCACTAACAACACATGGAAGGTAGACTTCATGTCACCTCTCCACCATGATTTGGCGAGAGGTGGATATGTTCCAGAGCCTCAGAAAGAGGAGTGGGTGGTGCCGCCTGCACGCTCCACTTCATCGCTGCACACACGCGCTGAATGTATGTGAAACGTGCAGGAAGCTGACAGCTCCTGGTGGAAAGTTGATAGAGAGAGGGTGTAGGAAACAGGGTGAGGAGGAACGGAGGAGCAGGCATCAGTTCCTATGGCAACCACCACCTCGCCCACGGCAACAAACTTCCTGCTCTGTTGAAGCAAATAGACACGGGTGGGGTAGTGTTTGGTTATGGTGAAGCGTGGCTTTAAAAGGCGGAGAACAAACAGCATGACATTAAGGTTTATTTCACTCTTTGAGATTTTAGTTAAAATTAGCATCCTGTATCTCCTGTTTCTTCATCCCTCGTTCCACCTCTCCTTTCCCTCAAACTCTAACTCTCCTGACACAAAGCGACTCCTCCCAAGGCCTCCCTGCAGCTCTCTACTGCCCCCTGCAGGTCTCTCTACACCTTAATCATAGCAGAGATCCCCGTCACCTTCTGCGTTCTCTTTCTCTGGGTTCCTCCATTCTATCAATTGTTCTATGTGTATGAATGCCAGGCTAAAACTCTCATCTGGCTCTTTGTCTAACTTTAAGATTGTATTTACACTTCTAGAGGCGTCCGATAAACAATCTGCAATAGGCTTGCAACCTTTCATTCCTGTCTGTCTGTCGGTTTAGTCGTGTCTTATCTGTCCCCCGTCTCTCAATCCTTCATGCCCAGTCAAATCAAGCAAAGTTTGATTCTTCAAAAGAATCCAGATTTCTTTCCCCCTTCATCATTGGTTTCCTTTCATACCTCGCCTTCCCTTTGCAGTCAGTTTTTCAATATTTCTGGATTTATCTTCAGATTGCACAATAGACATTGAATAGAAAAGAGACACGTGACAGCCCAGCCCACGCTCTCTCAGTGTGTGAATACACTTCCTACCTCTCCTCAACCCCACTGCGTCGCACCTCGCTGGAGCTTAAACTGAAACTGAAATTGAAGCGTCTTCAGTGTATATGTGCTGCATGTCACTGCGGCAAGGTGTGAAACACAAGTAGTCATACTGAAATGTGTTACGTTTTTTATATGTATTCAAAGAAAGTTCCTTCATTTTTGTTTCAGAAATATTGGCGTAGCAGCTGAACGCTAGCGAGCTAGTTAACAGCTAGAAGAGCTTGTTAGAATAAATGAAGAAATCTGGTACCCTATAACGCTAGCATGCTATTTTTCAGTTAACTATAATTTGTGTAATGTAAACGCATCCTTCTGCTATAGCACCCGCCAGATGTGTATATGAGGAAAGTTTAGTTGACACATAGTTGATTTATTTCTTCATCTGGCACTTACCATATGCACATTTATCCCCAATTTGTTCCTCAGATAAACATGTCAAACTTGACTTTGGAGCCCAATGTTAACAGGGAAGCTAGCAGGACCAACTCACTACTTAATGAATTGACTTGCTAATAGAGAACCTCTCAACCCTGCATTATGTGAAATCAACAGATGCACGCATGAGTTTAATAGCAAGGTGTAAATATTCTCATAAAGGTAAGCGGCAGAAGGCTTTTCAGTGCCACGGTGTTGATTGCAGAGATGGAGGTGAGCCAGATGTGTTGAAAAATCCATAACTGTTAATTGATGGTGATTAAAAAGTTGTGCGCGGTTCATAAAATAAATAAGGAAGTAGCAGATGTTTGAAATGATGCTTTCTGAGTGCTTCAGTTCTCTCTGCTGAGGCTGCAGAAACGCTTGATCTTTTCCACATATTTATTCTGTTAATGAGGAAAGCCAGAAGTTGGTCACACTGTAGCTAATGCCTTTGAGTGGACTTTTGAAGGTGCCTACCACAACTGTACTCTTCTGCCGGGGGGTGACGCCGCCGTAAAATCAGACGGCGCTCGTTTGTCATGTCAAGGTCGATACTTACCTCGGGTTACGCATTCCTCCTCCTCATCTTTTTCTCTGCCTCCACTCTTTCCCTTTCTCTATGTCTGAGTGAGCGCTCGCCTGCCTCCGTCTCTCCTCCATCCTTCCCTCCTCTAATGGCGCGTTTCCACTGCAGGCCTCGCTCGGTTTGGTTAGGCCTTATTAGGCCCGGCTCACTTTAATGCTGCGCTTCCATTACAGTTTAGGAACTGGGGCAGTTACTATAGTAACGCAGTGTAGGCGGAGCCGTGACGTCATCTTCAATGAGAGCCCCAGAAAAACAACACAGCCGTTAGCTCTTAGCACTCAGAGCTCACAGCTCCTCATATCTGTTCAGAAACTAGACAAAAGTTAAACAAGTACAAACCACAGACTGCCTGTGTCATGGCGAATACAGTCGCTGGTTTATTTATGTCTGTATAGGCCGTTGTTGTGAGTGTGGACGGTTGGAGCATATATAACGTTAGCTTAGCCAAGCTACATTTAGAAAACACGCATTTTAAAAGGGTTTTTCGCCTGCCGTCTGTCTGCAGACTTGTCAAAGCATTAATTCATGGTTTTTACTAACCGGTATCAGTATGTTGTTACTTCGGCATCATTTTGAAACGTGTATTACAATTAATTCACGGTCAAATATGTTCATCTTGTTGTAGTTGTAGCCCCCTTGCCAGCGATTCTCTCTCTAGTTTAGCATACTCAGCCCGACTCAGCCCGGTTGTTCCTGGCCCTAGAACCACGATTTAGTCGGGCCAGAAAAAAGGTGAAAAAGTAGCCCCGGGCCAAAACTAGGCCAAGTGGAAACGCAACCAAAAACGGGCTCGGCACGCTTAAAGCGAGCTACCCGCTGCAGTGGAAACGCGCCATAACAGTCTATTATTATATAGGGGATTTGTTCCTCTGTCCTCCCCTCTGACCTGCCTTCACCCACCTCCACCTCCTTCTCGTCTTCCCAAATCCTTCCCTTGTATCACCCCCTTCCTCTACAACTCTCCTATCCTTTCATAGCTTCTCCCCCCTCCTCCTCTGTCCTCCCATGCTTTCCATCCAGGAGCCCCGGTGTTTGGCCAGGATGAATGGGAGCTATTTAAGCTGCTGGCAGGTCCATCCGATGTGTGTGTTTGTGTGTTACCAAAGAGATTCAGTCTGTGGGTGTTGTGTGTTTTGACAACCTGGGATGTTCAAATGTTGGAAGTTTTGAAGTAGCCAGATTGGAAAGGTTTTATAAATGCTGCCATAAAGCTTCACTCTTGGCTTGCACACATTACACACACACAAACACACACACACACACACACACACACACACACACATACACACACACATACACACACACACCACAGAATAAACTGGACACACACTCAGCTCTCTGAGTAATATATTGTTATGAATTCTACAGTTAATTTTCTATTCATTTATCTCTCCTTTTCTTTTGTTCTCCTTTTAGTCCACCAAAGGTTCCCGTGATTGTGTCTGGAGTGGTGACAAAGGTAAGCCATACACACACACACACACACACACCTACACCTATCTGGGACATGAGTTCTACAACGAGAGGTAGCGGCTTAGTGCTGAAAGGGAACAAGAGAGAAGAGGAAGAACAAGGCAGAACAGGGTGGGAGAAGAAAATGGAGGGAATAGCAGGGCAATCCTAAACATGTAAAATAACCATTTTTATCTTTAAATGTTTTGCCAATTCCTCAGCCATGGATTGAGACAAAAATCATTCAACTCGTTGGGAGTTTTTTGATCATTTTGTTTGTGTGTGTAAGGCTTTTCTCAGACTTTGACCTTTGAAAAGTGGGTCCTTGAAGAGCATTGTTTGTTTTTGACTGTAGGCCTTGGAAGTTGTGTTGAAGCATGCGTGTGTGTGTTTATGTGAAAAAGTGCCCTTGAGTATCCTGCAGAGTGTGTGTTTGTGTGAGTCAGATTGTGTTTGGGAGATGGCTGCGATATCAGCAAGGTGGCAGGCATTCATCTATGCCCCGATCCTCCTCTCGCCCCCATCACTGCCATCAGACCCCGAGGCTAGCACGGCACAAAGCCTCCCAAAAGCCTTTTAGGAGCCAAGTGAAACACTTGTGTGTGTGGAGATTTCTAAATGTAAAAAAACTAGCTGGGTATTCTCTGTTATATCTATCTTTAAATGACAACATACAATTCTCTCCAGAATTTCTTATTCTGTTCCCTTGAAAAACGTACACTGTTATCCTTAAGTCATCACACCTAAGTATAAAGAATAGGTGATAGCATTTTAAATTAAGAACAATATTTATTTTATTGTACTGCCATTGCTAAAAATCAATGTGTAGTAATACATTGTTAAAGGGTCCGCATATTGGGTACATGCATATTGGGTGAGACCCTTTTCTTGAGAATAAATTAGCTTTCTTAACTTCCTAAAGATATCCTCAAATTCAAGTTTGCAACATTAGTTGAATTTGAGCAACTCAAGAAAGTCAGTTCTACATTTTGTTGAGCCACATGGATGTAAGAAAAAAATGTAGTTTATTTGAACATATTTTCATTTAAATATTCAAATAAAAAATAGTTGCAAATGTACATTTCAAAAAGCAATTTGAGCTGTGTACTTTGGTAGTAAAAGGAGGTAGGAAAGTGGCTCGCCTGCCCGTCAACATGACTTCCAGTCACAGTTTGGCGCATTAATACAGTTAATGTGTTCCCTGCCTTACCTCTGCTTCAGAAGGACAGAGAGAGAGGACAGAAGCTTTGAGATAAAAAAAAAAGAGAAGACGGGCAATTGGAGGTCAAATCCATCCACATGCCGAGCATTCGCTGTGGAATCGGCTTTGAATGAAAAGCAACTTTTACCCACTGTAAATTAGTTTTGCCTCCTCACACACACATGCAGGAGAAGTAGTGCAAAGCAAATACAGTACAACACACACACACAGTCTCATACAACACACACAGAAAATTAATTAGGGTCAACAAGGACGGGTGGGACGGGTAAAGTTCAGCAAGAGGCAAAGGGCTGATTAAATATATTAAACTTTATTCTAAGAAATCAAAAGATATAACAAATGAGGAAGGAACCATGTGTTTGTGTCCTATGTATGATGGAATAGTAACAGCCACATGTTGCAGCTGAATGCCAAACCCCAAATTCACTACAATCCAGTATTTTAGAGGAACTAGTTAATACTTTGATATCATTTCAATTAATCGTGGAAGCTGCAGAGCGATCAATGCTATAGCTTTAAGTGTAGTTAAGGTGAGGAACGAAATCTAGTCTGACACAAACTGGTGATGAACTCAGCAGGAAGACACGAGTGTGAGAAAGGGGAGAATGAGGAACATTGAGGAAGACCAATAGAGAGCAGGCCGCTAGAGGCGAGTCATGTTTGTAGTAAGTCTCAGATTAGAATTCTGCACTTCCTCATGAATCATCAAATTCCTGATTTGATCCGATTTAGCAGTGAGGGGCTGTTTATGGGCTTGTTGGGATAACAGATTGAGTTTGCAGATCATGAGAGCGGGGACAGACGAGCGCTCCACGCTTCACTTCAGGGATTTCCTCGTTATTATGATTATCAGAGGGAAAGGATTTAAAAATGGGACATAATGTGCACGTTCTGTGTGTGCGGGCAACACACATCAAGACATTACATCACACCCTTATTGTACACATCTGTTGCGAGTAAATCCTTTGAAATGATGTTTTCACGATCATTGTATTTTTTAAATACTTTTTGTAATCATCTTATTTTGTCTGTAGTTTCTAGTTCAGCCTCTTTCTTACTTATTTCTATCAATCAAATCAAGATATCAAAAGACATCATCTTGGACCTTGATGCCGCTATTTTTCTGACATCTTATAGACCAAAGGATTAATCTACAGAACCGGCATATTAATTGAAAATGAAAATAATCGTTAGTTGCAGCCCTACTTCAATCATGATTTTCCTAGCTGGGAAATATATAATGAAGGGGATTTAAGCCTTATCTGTTCCCTAATGATTTGTGCACTGCTACCAAGGAGGTTAATGCTTTCTGTGCAGTTATACCTGCAAGAACACCAGCTGTTCTGTTTGCATGCTCCTTAGACTGAGGCTATAAGAGATCCTGTATTCCCTCGGCTGCCATTGGACATTCTGCCACCAACTCTATCACCTAGTCTTAATCTAAAGTCAATATTATTTTTTTAATACAACTAATGGACCCAAGCCAGTGGAAGAACTAACCACTTTTATTAAGACTGTCACTATGAAGCCATTTTGCTCTTTTTGTGTGTATGAATTGTACGTTGCGCTGTGAATGCTATTTTATCTTATTTACCAGTGCCAAAGACACATTTCCATTATATGTAAATGTAATGGGGAATAAAGTAGTCTGAATTATTAATGGTAAATACTCAACACCAAGTCATTTTGCAGGCTAGGCTGTAGTCTTGAATGTATTGGCTTTATGCACAGAATAAAATGCCTACAAATATTGACTGCCTGTGTTGTGTTCAGGGCGATAAGGACTTCACCCCCGCAGCCGCTCAGGTGGCTCATCAGAAGCCCCAGCCGTGCGTCTCCAAGCTGCCCGCCTCGCAGCACATCAACCAGCCCATCCACCAGCCCCGCAAGTGAGCTGGCACCACGACGGCTCTGCTAACTCCACCCACCGGCCTCCCCTGATGGAACACATACCATGAAGATGTTTCCCCACCAGGCACAGATCTCCTCTCAGTAACCACAGAAGTTGTTGTTTGTATTACATGTAAGAGGAATTTATGCCAATACAGCCATTGTAGAAGTCCCACTCGATTCCCCCCCCCCCGCTGCTCTGTTTAGTTTGTGTCCTCTCCTTAAGAGGGATGGTTGTCTTAAGGTGGTATACATGGTGGATGGGACTTCTACAATGGCTTTAGTTCAAGGATTAAACATAAATGAAGAAATCTGAGTCTGGGGGGGGACTCTCAGTGCAGCGATGTGCCAACCGATACCGCACCTACCAGCCAATCACAGCAAGCTATCAACCAGGCCTACTAACCAACCAATCACCTGCAAGTGATGAGCCTACGCTCCCGCCTTATACCTAAAATCTCCACAGGCCAAAAGAACCAATCCACAAATCACAACCAGTATTATGTTATTAACACAAACCAAAAAGAGCAGAACTTCTACATTGCAAAACTCAGTGTGTTGTCATAATGTACGGCTACTGCATAGACCAGAGAGGTCAAATAGATACTTATATGACAACTATAACAAATTATTAGCACAGACACTGAGGTTAGCTGCACTAAGTCCTTTTGACCATTTCAATAACTCTTATCTTTTCTGCAAAAACATTCCATAGAAATATATATATATATATATCAGAAATCTATATCGGTCTTACAAAATATTGATTCAAGCATGCACACACCACCCTTTTCCTTAAGCACCCATCCCCTTACACTCAAGTGTCATTTGTTGCAACACTAATGTTCAGGTTTCGATGAAAGAGAGAAATTAATAGATGTCTTGCCAAGAAGGAATTGATTTCCTATGTTGATTTAATTCAGTTTAAAAGAGTTGTATTTTTTGTTCTCTTGTTATTATTCTTGAGTAAATTGTACAAATCTATGAGTGGAATTAGGTATTAGGTGTGGTTTAAATGGTAAATAAAGATATGGACTATCTTAAAAAAAACAAAACACCTTTCCCAGCTTGTCTGTATTTGAATGAGATGAGGGATGACTGGACAAAAAGGTGGACATTTTGTCATGAAAAAAAAAAGATCGTAAGCCCTGTACTAACCAAGGAGAAAATTACAGTTCTAATATTTTCAAGTTGAAAGCAGTCCCTTGATGGATGGTGTCCTGGGTATTCGCACATACCACGGTGAATTAGCAGTCTGCACTGAGGGATTTAGGCTCAGGTGGTGTTTTGAAATGAAACAGAAGCATCTCTCCAAGAGCTGTCTGCTATTTTCTCCTCCGCTCACACACACAGCGTGCACCAGGTGTTAGTGCATGTAATCCATTTTTACACAAGCATCTGCAACCAGGTGTTCTGTCAGTTCATGTTAGCCCAATAAACCAGCCAGTGAGGCTTAGTTGGTATGAGCCTCTGAAGCACCCTATTACAGCAGGTACAATCTCCTTGACTCTGCATGGTTTTATATAGTTCTCTCGATGTGGCAGACCGCTCATCCCCTGCCATGCTGCATTAGACTGACTGGGAGAACAGCGTGAGAGCGAGCCAGGGCTAAAAATGTAATCTAGTGCCGTGCTCCGGAGTATTTACTTGTATCAGTATAATTTGACACAAATAAAAAGATAAATTGGGAAATGTATTATTTGGCAGACCAATGGATTGAAAAGGAGACAATACTATTGCAGCTAGTAAACACAGATACAATATTAAGCACATAACGCCTATTCAATTTGAAATAATAGGTATGTAGGTTTACTATTTCTGGAGTTAGTTTCTGGTCTAACAGAACAACAAATTGCCCATGAGCAGGGAAGTGCTCTCTATGTGGGTTTATTTACGAAGGAAAAATGTACACTGAAGAAAACAGTCAAGGTTACAGCGCCAAGTCCTAATTTAGAGCCACTTTATTAGCGGTGAGTACACACCACCAGCTGGTAGCCATGTGGTCCTCAGGAACATAAAATCTGGCTCCAGCTTGTTGAGACCGGTCATTTCTGTGACACTGCCGGCTGAAATCCTTCCAGAGATGCTGCGGTTTACTCAGTCAGGCAACAGTGGTATTCAGTCATTTATATTGGGACCTTTTTTGGATGGACTCATGGTCATTTGGTGATAAGGCATCGGGGCAAAAATAACAAATTCACTGACATTTTGGCTCCAGTTTCATTAAGTCAAACAACCTGCTTTTCTTACAAACTTCCTTTTTTTCTCCTGTACTTGGGGAGGTATTCCAAAAACAGCACTCACGGGATTTTATGTAAAACTAACCTATTTTCTAAAGTGTTACTTCTGAATATGTCTAATAGAAAGTAATGCAAAAGTGTTATTCGTACTTTTTCTCAGCTCCACCACTTACAGTACATTTTCAGTTCTCACATTGTAGATAATCCTGATGCTGATTTAATTGAGACATTTTCATTTATTCATACTTTTCAGATTTTCAGAAATGGAATTCATTAAGAAGGACCTACTTTATCCTTGATTGCATCACGGTATAATTTCACAGAATACTAAAAAAGAGATGAAAATGATATAAAGCTCTCATACCTTCTGCACTCAGATTACTTTGAGTTCTTACTAAACCTGGAAATATATGGAGAAAGTCATTGTGGCCATAAGGATTACATTTGCATGTATTGTTTATGACTAAAGTCTCATATGTAGTTTACTATTATTCAGTTATCCCAAGAGAAATGTAATAATTAATTCAATTTAAGCATTTTTTTTTTTTTCTACTTCCATATGGCTGCACATATATTGCTCAACATTGCTCCTGGTTTATTTCCTGGCACTTGATGGCAATGCCACAATCTGAGGATATACTGTCATTTAAATGCAGATGTCCTTAAAAGGGTTACACTAACCAACCAGCAGAGGGCCTCAGTTCAGGATTCCCCCCTAAATTCAGAGGGTAGACAGAAGCAATCAGTGCTGATCTAGATTCAGGTCATACTGCCTAAATCCCAGCCAGTTGGATCAGATTATGCCATTATATCTGTCAGTGTATCCTCAGTGTCACATCAGTTCATAGTGTTTATTGAGCCATATCCTAATTTCTATGAGGGATGTTGGTCGGGATGTGGAAGAAGAAGGCGGGAGGTGCATCGCTGACCAATCCTGTCGCGCTTCATAATCTCAGTTTACAATCTGAGCCAACAGCTGTGAGCCATGACCTAAATATTATCTGATGCATTTAGGGCTAATAGGTTGTGTCCTATCACTTATACACAACCCTCTATAATCTGAACTCCGTGTAAGTATATCTTATCTATTCTTATAAGTATATAAGAATAGTATATTCTTATCTTCAGTATATAAGAATTGATAAAACAAACAAATGATTACCAGAATTCAATGACGTTTGATATTATTTTGCCATCAATAAATCATTTACAAGTTATAGTAGAGTAAGGTCTAAAAAACAAATGCCACAGTGTAGTGACAGGATGTATAGTACTGCATTAAAATATGATAAAAAGTCAAATTATAACACAACAGAAAATGTCATAAAGTAATAATATATATGTTAAAAAATGCTCTATACTGACTCACAAAAAAACAGCATTGAAAATAAATGTAGTTTTTATTCATGGTCAGCAAACTTAGCCTCCCTCTGAACAAACTGCACACTGTAGACATTGTCGGCTGTGATACTGCATTGCCAGCAAAAAGCCTTTTTCCTATGAAACATTTCCTTATGTTGATGTTAAATATGTTAATCCTGCTACACTCAGAGTTTGAGTGAACAACTCGCTGCAGTTTGCGCCTCTTTTGTCGTGTTCAAATGACTTCCTCTGGGGAGTATCTAAGCAGATTGCCATGCCATTCAGAACTCAATGAAGTTTATTTGAAGAAGTGATTTGGCTGCACACTGCCCTTGTAACCCCTTAGCAACTCATCACCATGTATATTAGACACACACTCTTGGATGGCACTTAAGCTGCAATCGCCATGAGGAGTTAGGACCGTGAAATTGTGTTCTAAAAAATCCCGACAATGTAATATCATTACTCTCCCCGTGGCTCTGGCTGTTTGAAACTCACAGCTATTTTTCGCCCCATTATTTTTGACTGTTTAATTCTTAAAACAGAGCTGACCTCATGCTCTGTAATTATTATTTTTTTATCAGACGGGTCCATTTATTAGGGATTATCACTTCATTTCTGCTTGTACTGTCACATTGGCCAAAGCTCACCCTTCTCTCAATGTTAAACAAATCCCCCTAATGCTGAGGTTGTAAATTCAATCAAGTAAAACATCTCCTTGTTTTCTTATTATCTTCTCAACACAACATGGCTGAGGCATGCAGCAATAATGCATCAATATTTGGCTCAATCACATCCACAGTTAGCAGTTTATTTCGTTGCCATCCTTCGTACCTAAACCAGTGTCCATCTTAGAGTCACATTCACCCTGATGAATGTGGTATATAATGTAAACACGTAGAAAAACGTTCACTCCTTCCCACATGGTAAGATGTGAGTGTTACATCACAATAGTGCTCCACATGTCAGTCCTGAATCTTAAGACTAAAAAACATTTTCATATATCTGTATGTGAAATAAAAAAAGTTTTTCATTGAAAAGCGTTAAAATCTCTAATATAAAATTTGCGTAATACATTCATGGGTTTTCATTATAAAGCATAACAAAAAGCATCTACAAATATTGCTGCCATTCGAATTTAAATAAGCTTGTGTTTATCTTTTCAGTCAATATGACGCACCCATTAGTACTCTTAATATTTAAGACATTATCCCAGAACATCTTTAATAAATCTCTTCCAATTTTTCGATATAAAGATAAACACATTCTGAAAGAAGTGTCTACTACAGTGTAACACAGTACAAAAACACTGCATCAAGCACTCAGAGTGTATCAAAACATAGACCAAAGCAATAAATATGAAAAATAAGTTAACCAAAAGCATTTCAAGTATCAAATCCCCTGGGTATTCACTGTTTGACATCATAAAGGACACTGGCCATTGTGCATGTCTAAAGCTGTAAAGCTGCTATTTGCACGAGGCCAAACTCACAGAAGCATTCAGTCTTCTGCCTCATGTTAGGAACACTGCTGGCAATTCATATATTCTAGAAAACAAACATTAAAGCCAAAACACTTGCAAGTCTGGCTAGACTTTGTCTGATTTGGGCGTAGTGTAAATGGCTTCTTCCAGAGTAAATATATTATTTCCTTTTCCCAGCAGCCAGGTGTCTCTTGGTCACCGCCTCCAGCCGCCTCCTCTCCGCCTCCTCGGCTCTCTTTCTTTCCTCTTTCAGCTCCTTGTACCGCCACTTTGGTATTTGCAGCAGGTGCCCCCCTCCATCTTTGGCGCTGCTCTTCCTCCGGATCTTTTCTGGTTCATAAGTAGGCGTGGGGGCCTTGGTGACCCTCACTTTGGGGACGCTGAACCCCGGCCTGACGCTGCTCCTCCTCAGCACCATGTGCAGCGGCAGCAGGCTGGTCCTCCGCAGCTCCAGAGCCTCGTTGTTCACTCCCAGCGTCAGGCTGGAGCTCCGGTGCCGAGTCATCAGGCTCTGGGCCTGGAGGCTGGCCCGGCGGTCCACAGAGTGTTTGGCCACCAGAGTGACCCTGGAGTTCTGGAAGAGTTTGAGGTGGCTCTCCACCCGGTCGGGGTTGATGGAGCGGAGCTCCTTGGCGCGCTGCTGGCGGATGATCTCAGGAACTGAGTAGCGTCGTTTGCCCACAGCGGGGGGGCTGTCAGGACACACCTGAAACAAAACCAGTTTTTGTTATTAAATCAGTATTAATAGCACAGCATTAGTGATTATAGTGATATTTGTTTTATTTTATATACTAAAAGCCTACTAGTCTCCCTTTTGTTTGCAGTATTGCAGTTCTGGAAATCTTCCATCAGATAAGGCTGCCGTGAATTATATCCTCTAATTATTTTGAGCAAATCCCGTGAATAGAATAAATGATAAACCAGCACCAGATTTATACTTTAATAGCACCATTACCATAATATTATCATTAGTTTATTTGATTCTGTTTTTGTGAATGTTTCTCCTTCAGGTCTCTGCACATCGATTCAATTAAACAGCAGTAATGAAAGAACGACGAAATAAATGGAAGAATAGTGCACACTGTTTGAAAATCACATTATTTTTGCATAAAGTATGTATTATGTTGTACTAAATGTCAGACTTGAGAAAGGGGATCCTTTAAAATATATAAATAAATAGTTGTTGGTCAAGTTTCAAGTCTGTTTAAGGTGAGATAAGAAAACAAGCCCTGATATCTCCACCATGCTGAGTTTGTACAAACAAAAGCGCAGAGGTGAGCAACTTTAATGACTTCCTTATCACAAAAAGTGGTTAAGGCTTCAACTTATCTTAGCTTACATTTGCAAAAAGCATGTTGGTGTGAGGGAGTAACTGCGGCACAGTGTGATGGGTTCTTGGATCTGGTGGTGGGCTACTGTTTAAAGCTGATTAATGAATAGGTGTATAAAGACTGAGAGCTTTACTCACGGTGTGGCATGCCACAGCAATAAAAGGGCTCCTCATGGCAGTGGTGATAGAAACCATGTGGTCGATGACTCCTTCCTCCTCAGGCTCGCTGACGTTGGCAAAGTGGAAGATGCTCCGCACCGTGTCCGACAGGCGCTTCAGACAGCCGCGGGGCTCCTGGGCCCTGGACACCAGCGAGGCCAGAGGGGGCCACTCCAGACTAGAAGAGCAAATGTAGAATAAATCCACTGAGCAGAGGCACTGCCATCGTCAGGTATTTTGATGCTGTTTCCCTGCCTTGACCCTTCTTATATCTTACACATAAAACAATGTTTTTGACCTTGTGTTGCATGTCTAAATGATCACTTCCTGTAGCGGAAAGTGGAAAGTGCAGTGAATGTCAAATAGGGCTGCAACTATATACGTTTTTCTTCTTCTATGCTATTATCAAGGCCCAAGCGATTCAGGACAGCGATAGGAAAAACTTTGTTCATTGTCCGTTTTCTTTTCTTTTTTAACAATTTCATTACAATTGTATGTGGGGCATTGGGGCAGAGAGACAAATTCAGAACAGAAACAATATGAACCACTCATTATTTTACCTGTAGTTCTCACAGTACTGGCGCGGGCAGGGCCGCTCCATCAGGCGCGTTATCACCCAGGCGGTTTCATAGCGACCCGTAAAGAAGGCCCACTCCCTGGCATTGAAGTGGCGACCGAAGTCTCTGGCATTCAGGGCAGATCCTGGTGGACACAAAACAAACTGTTACTATGTCATATGTGGGACAAAAGATAAGAAAGTAGGGATAGGAAGAGTTCTCAAAAAGGAAGAGAGGAGCAAAGAAGTGCTTAGTGTGCTCAGGACTCATGCACAATGTGCTAACACCACTACCACAGGGCTATGAGATGTGTTTAAGTGCCAAAAATTGCATAATAATCAATAGCAGTCCCGGCCTGATAGCAGTAAATCTTGACTAGAACTCCCTGTCTTGATGATTTAGTATCATATATGTCTGTTAGTTTCATAGTTATTGCTAAAAAGAGAATAATCACCCAATAACTAACATTTGGATCAGTGCCAAAGCTAATTCAAATTGTCCATCTGTGTACCCATTCCAGTGAAAATCTGCTCATATTTTCCTGAGCTTATGACAAAGTAATGGCAAAATAAACAACATATTTTGTGGTTGTAATCAATGGAAACTGCCCGCAAAAATCAAGGTTATTTGTCAAATCCAGACATAACACTGACAAATGTGTCATTTGTGTGTGATTGCTGTAGAGTTTTTCTACATTAGGTGCAATCAGACACATTTGACTAACCTGCCATCATGAGCGAGCGCACACACTCCAGCCTGCCCTGCATGGCAGCTTTCATCAGGGCCGTGAAGCCGTGGCAGTTCCTCCTCTCGATGTCCAAGCCAGAGAAGTAGTTCAGCAGATAGTTGGTGATGGTTATGTGGCCTTAAAGAACAGAGAGGCAGAAGGTAGTTACTGGAGGTCACAACGTACTCTGTCTTCCGTATGTTGGCTCGAATAAAAGCTGCTAAAGTTTATTTCACACTAGTCCATCATGTATTGGAGAGGTGTGATCCACATCCCTATGACTGTTCCTTATTCACTTTCACACAAGACACTCTTAACTTCTGTTCAAAAAGTGAGATCCGACTCTTTTATGGTTGTCTGTGTCAGTATTAGTACCGATCTGCCTGTGTATGCAAATGTGTATGTGTGCATGTTTTCAAGTGATGTCATTGCCGTGTGTGTGTGTGTGTGTGTGTGTGTGTGGTGTGTGTGTGTGTGTGTGTGTGTGTGTGTGTGTGGGTGTGTGTGTGTGTGTGTGTATGTATATGTGTGTGTGTTTGTGTGTGTGTAAATTAAGTAATGCTTATAAATGCATAATTTTAAGCTAGTGTTTGCACGTAGCTCACAGCCATATGGCCTATAAGTCTGGCCCAAACTGTGTGTGTGTGTGTGTGTGTGTGTGTGTGTGTGTGTGTGTGTGTGTGTGTGTGTGTGTGTGTGTGTGTGTGTGTGTGTGTGTGTGTGTGTGTGTTACCTGCTTGAGCGGCAGTGATGAGAGCCGTGTTTCCCTCGTTGTCCTGCCAGTTGACGTCCAGGTGCGGACACTGAGACAGCGCTATGACGACGTCCACGTAACCTTGGTAACACGCAACCAGCAGCCCTGTCTGAAACAAAAAGCGACAGGAGAGGAGTTTAAAGACGAGAGTAACAGTGAGAGGCTTTTGTTTAGAATCAGCAAAAAATGTCCAGGGAAAAAAAACTTGGCAAAGGAGTTGAAGCAATAAAAAAATGCTGACATATAGGAAGTAGTATCAGTAAAAACCCAGAAGACCTCTGTGCACCTTTCCAATCTAATATCCTTAAATAAATGTTAAATCTGAGGACTGAACCGTCTTGAACTCGGAGGAAAAATAGACTGTCTCCCTGTGTGATGTTGTTGTGTGTCTGTGTGTGTCTGTGTGTACTAGCTAGAATAGGAACCCTTTTATGTGTGTGTGTGGACGTATGTGTAAATGTTAGTCTGCGGGTGTGAGTTTATGTGAGTTCGAGAGTCCTGTGGAAAACTCCTGTTAAAGTTGGGTACTTTCCGGAAGGTGCACTCTTCATCAGCCAAGACAAACAAGTTTACCACCAGAGATGGGAAGAAGCTGTGAGTACGATTTTGGAACACAACGTTCTCAGGTATAACATAAACACAGTGTCGCTTTTTTACACATTCAAACATAGAATTCTGTTGGAAAGAGATGTCTTTTACTAACTCAGACATTTATGAAAAAGTCAATATTTTGTAATGATGGGATTCTTTTGATGAGAATAAATGGGACTAGGCAATGATTTAGATGTTGAAAACTCTAATTAGACACCTGTAAGATCCATATTGTGTTTGCCACATGCAGTGCAGTATATCTTTCGTCTTCACAGGTGTCTTGTGAAAAAAGGCTAAAACTCAACAGTTCTCATGTTTATTCTGCCTTCAAATTGAACTCAGGAGATTGTTTTCAAGGTGAGAAGTAAAACTAAGATATTATTGATGTTTCATGTGTTAACGTGGATAAACAGTTTCTAGGCAACTGAGAAAAGAGTGGACACTATTTACTAAATAAAGACAGTAAATGATGTATGAGTGTATTTTTACTGACGAGACTTGTAAAGCAGCAGCTATTGGAAAAGGTTTCATTTGCAACAACGTCAATGAAACAACAATATGTTGTTCTTAGCTTCCTTAATTGGCACACCCTAAATGGACTTTTAATTAGCGCTTTATTAAAGCCAGGTGTGCTGGAAAATTCAACAAGTCAAATGTACGCCGTGTAAAAACACACAGACAGTGCTGGATTCTGCCTGCTGACACTAATCCAGGCATACTGTGTGCATTTTAATTAAGACAATGTATTTCCGGTAAACATATAAATCCCCAATTCACTTTCACAGCTTAAAGGCTTTTCCAATGCTAATGCTAAAAACAAAACCTGATGACCTATAGACAATGTGCTTGACAAAAATGGACTTTAATACAACCAATGTATTAAACTAAGTGCATATTTAATGTCATGTGCAATAATTCTTTACAAATGTGACTTTAAATCCAGCAACATTAGCAGGAAAGAGTGAAGTATTATACTATTTAGGTAAGTTGTTACAATTTGTACTGCATTTTATATTTATACTTCACTGAATCGTGAAGCGTCTGCCGTGACATGATGTCCTCATCAGGAGAGCCCTCATCAAATCTATGTGATGCTTTTCACCTCTTGGCACAAGATTTGTTTTTATTTCTAACTCTGGTATAAATGTCATCAAAAGTTCTGTCTCGCTGAAATGAAAACAAATCATAATGACAGAGAGGGCCTGACGGTGTGGAGAAAAACGTACAAACCTCCCCCATATGTTCTTCTTATCAGGTTGCAGAATGTTTAAATTATCCTCAATTAAAAAGGATTAAGACCGTATCCACTTTATGAAGCATCAACAAGTAACCAATCTGCAATAAAAAACATTATTCTCACAACATGACGTTCTGCCCAACATACTGCCTTTCTTTGAGTTTCTGTGTATCAGACTGGACAACTACTTTTCAGGCTCAGTGAGAATGATGCCGTGCAGCATTTACACTACATGTACAGTAATGTGTTTTGCCTGTTGGAAAAAACTGAAGTTAAACTTTTGTCTGAAACAAGCCAGGCTGTAAGCCAGCCGGAGATACTGTCAGGCAGGAGAGTTACAAGTGGAAAAGGTGACATGAAGTTCTGAGGCATAACTAGTGGGCTTTCTGACACTGGCACAGCTCCAGATTGCTCTTTCTGGTTGGACTAACGCATGTAGACCTTGTCTGTCTGTCTCACACACACACACACACACACACACACACACACACACACACACACACACACACACACACAACAACACACACACCACACAACCACACACACACACAACACACACACACACACATCACACACACACACACACACACATACACACACACACACACACACACACACACACACACAACACACACACACACACACACACTCTCTTGGCAACCCTCCAGCCTCACTGTGTTGTATAAAGGCGCTTTGCCCTGCAGCTTGTCTGGAGCACTCTCAGTCGTCTGGCAATCTCCTATTTTCTCTCAGAACCTTTTTCACACAATCACGCAAAAGCATTTAACTCCTAGGCTCAAATGTTCTAGTCAGCACATCCTTATTTGGAGTATTTGTAACAGCTATTGGGCTCTGATGCATCTTAACAGAGGCTGCTGGTGATGTAGGTGACTAATCTGATAGAAGAGCACCAGCTAAATGCACACAGCATACCATTTGAAAGACACATGAATCGATGACAAAGCAATCATGTGCTACACAATATTAGCCACTCAGTGACTAACTCTAGGGCTAAAGGGATACAAATAACAACACTAGCAGGTAGCTCAACAACCCTGAAACAATCAAGAGGTACTTCCAGAGTGTGTGAGCAGGGCATGTGTGTGAGACTTTGACCATGATGACGGCCCCTACACACGGCGGCGTGCGTTACCGCTTGGCGGTGGGCGTGTCTGAAGCTTGGGGATTTTTTACGAACAACGCGACCAACAACCAATCACATGAATGTCCCGCCCCGGACATACAAAGCAAATCATTCACGCTACATCCATGCTGGCTAGATATACTGTCTATGCTTGCTAGCTGTCCATTCAAACGAAGTACACTGGATATAAACTCCCCAAACAGGCGAAAACCTACCAGTTTCACCCACTGTCTCTGCCACCTCCCCCCATGCCTGGCTCCTCCGGTTTGTATCCCTGTATGTAAAGAGGGACTGGTCATATAGTACCGCCACGATAATTTTCTCCTCCATTGTTTGACATATGGGAAATAACTGCGGTCTGGCTCTCCCAACATACACGCGGTTTGATTGGCTAGCGCTTGTACTGTCAGATTTGCATACGCGGGATTTGATTGGCTGACGCCTCCGTCAAGGCGGCAAAAGTAGAACATTGCTATACTTTTGCAGCAAGCACCGCGAGAGAAGCTACGCTTTGCTCCCACAATGCAGTTCGGCGAATCGTGACGTCACCCCATTCAAAGTGAATGGGCAGAAGCGTTGAAGCGGCAACGCACGCCGCCGTGTGTAGGCTCCGTTTTACCTATACTTTTTGAGGGGATTATGTGTTTTGTATGTAGGCCAAATGAAGATGCACACTATGGCAATTGTAAAGCTTCTACTTGTTGCTGATGGACGCAGACCTATGCCCTCCCTGACCCTAATCTCCTCGGCTCCATTACACAGGACTAGAGCTGCCCTCTTGAGCCAAAAGACCTTGTGGTGTAAAGTGGTACTTTGCCTAATCTCTTGATGCAAACACTATCAATACTGAAACATGCTCTTCCAAATTAATATTACTTTTATTAATGTGCGTAGCAATATTTATTGTGAGTTCCTATGCAAGGCTTTGATTATGGATGCAAGGCTTTTTCCCCACCATAGCCATCATACGTTTTTAAGCTATCTTTCCCTCTAAGACGTTCAGCATTTAGTAGGATCCATCCTGCTGTTAAGATTTAAAAACTAAATGTATTTTTGGTAATGCAGATTTCAACCAATTGATGTAATAACAAACCAAGGTGATCAGTAGAGATTTCTTAGCAAAACTGACCCACACACACAATCTGGTCCACTTATTATTAGCCCATATACACAGACAAACAGACCAAGACAAACACACACTCACAAAGTAATCTGGTGAATATCGAGAGCTAGGAATAGAAAGGCTTAGCCGTATCAGTCGGCAACACACAGAGGGGGAGGGAGACGGCAGAACTGTGCATCTGAAGTTGATGAGAGGACGTGGTAATAATTGGCTCCAACAAAGATGACCCGACACTTATAGACATACAATCGATCACAGCCAATGTTCAACTATGTTATTAATTGCATTTTAAACAAATAGTGTAACGCAAACTGAAGTACACGTTTGAACTAGTACCATAGTATTTGAATTGAAGTTATCCCTGCCAATTAATCAAATGAATGGACCTCATCAAATATTAGTTATCCTTATTTGTCCAGTTACCTGTCTCTTTATGCTTTATCATGCTTATTATTCTGCTCGTGCTACAAATTGTAGCAAATCTCTTCTACTGAAACTATTATAGCATCACAGCCAAGTAGAAACTTGTTTAATCTCTCCATAATGTTTAGTATTAGCCTTCCATGCTACCAAGCAGCCTACTTCCCCGTTGGGTGTGTGACTTATGCAATACACCACAATGTAACTAACTTCTTGTTTCCTAAGAAAAGGCTTACCCACACTTTGTTTTCTTACTTTAAAATAAGAACTGGTCGATGCTAAATCCTGCAGCGGCAGACCTGCATCTCTGCCGCCTGCATAAACAAGTATCAAACATTCGTTTGGCATTTTACAGTACCTTCTTTGTGCTCAAGGACATGCACACAGGCAAATACACTCTGAACCGCCCTCATCACATACAGCAGAGGCACTAACGCAGACCTACTGGGCCATGTTTCTGTCAATAGCCTCCCTGTTAACTGTGTGTTTCTTTCTGCAGCTGAGTGTTCACATGGCTGAATCAAATCAGATGTATATGACTGTTGCTTTGATTTTTCCACTCATCTGTATTTGCCAACAGCCAGCATCATGCAGTGCCAAATGTCTGTCTCTCCCCACGTGTGCTTCATTTAGTCTGCTTGCTTGATGGTCGCACTGTATCTCTCCGTTAATGATACTTAGTGAGTGTTAGTGCGTGCTTGTGTGTGTGTGTGTGTGTGTGTGTGTGTGTGTGTGTGTGTGTGTGTGTGTGTGTGTGTGTGTGTGTGTGTGTGTGTGTGTGTGTGTGTGTGTGTGAGACGAGAGAGAGAGAGGAGAGAGAGAGGAGAGAGAGAGAGAGAGAGAGCGAGAGAGAGAGAGAGAGAGAGAGAGAGAGAGAGAGACCTCATTTAAGTTGATTGAATTCTGCGTGCGTGTGTGTTTATTGAGTTTTCATGTGAAAAGCTCTCTGCCCTGAACAGTAGTGTCAGATGTGTGTGAGGACATTGATACAGGGTCTGACTGTGGTTCAGGGGGCTCGTCCACTGATCGTTAGAGCGTCAGTGCACGTGTCGAAGTGTGTCCGTGAGCAAGATACCGAACCCCAGATTGCACCCGAAGGCATCGCTATCAGTGTGTGATCGTGTGAAGCATTGGATAAGATGATGAGCAGTTTGGCACCTTGTATGGCAGCCTTGTAAATGTTGGCATGTAATGTAACACAATCAGAGTGGTCGGAAGACTAGAAATGAGCGATAGAGATGATCATTATATATCATATAAATGTGAAAATATATTAACATTCAGAAAATATATCTACTTACTTTCTTCAATGTTTTAATTTTTACAACACAGTTCCAATAGATCGGGGAGGCGTGTGGCGCAGTGGTTAGTGCGTTGGTGTTCGGATCAGGGGAGCACAGGTTCAAACCCCACTGCAGTCAGCATGTCGTTGTGTCCCTGAGACACTTCACCCCAAATTGCTCCTGTGGGGATTGCCCACAGTATTGAGTATGTAAGTCGCTTTGGATAAAAGTGTCTAACAGGTAACATGTAATGTTAAAATCTCACCAAACACATCCTCTATGACAGTCACAACACTGAGAACATACTGTGGGGAATCAGAAGCCAACAGCATAATTACTGTGCCATAATCATATACAAGGATAATTAAATAAACTTACTTAAGACCGACTTCGTGGCTCCTCATTAACTTTATTGCTACATTTGGCTGTGTTGTTTGTCAGTTTTTCTCTGATGTTGTGAGCCTGATAACGAGTTTTAACATGTTAGCTTGCCAAAGGAAAGTATGAATGTATTTTTTTTTTAAAGGCTTGATTGAGTAACCAAGAATGTATTCCAATAAAAGTTTAAAGTTGTAAACTTGTGATGTTATTAGGCATCGGCTATAGAGACAAACACACCCATGTGGACACCCATGTGCAAAGATCTATTGTTCCTGCTTGCCATAATATATCCAAACACATTCTTCATTCTTATATCAGCCACATGTCTAAAATAAACTTGTTTTATGTTGCAGCAGAAGGTGAAAATCTACCTGACATCAAGGGTTAATATCCTGTGTTGGCAAGCATTAACCTTGATAAATGGCAATTATGCAAACACAGACTCCCTACCATTCTGAAGCTGATCCTGACTACAGATTTGTTCTGCGTCTTCAGGGCCTTTTGACTTGGACAATATATCACGCTGGACACTGATGATGAGCTGAAGGGGAAATGATGTAAGTCCAAGCCTAGGGATGTAACACTCCTCTTTGTTTTGCAAATCACATAGTCAGGATGTCTGCTATATTGGGATGTTGACATCTGTGTCAGGATGTTGAGCACACACACATGAACTAATGAGCTTAACAGATTCATATCAACATGTGTTTCCAATGGAGGGGTTTTCTAACCTGTATTGTGTGTACAGTACTCTGAGGTCAGAGGGCATGGCAAAGCAAACGGTGAATGTACTAGCACACATCCTAGTTATCTATGCAAACACATGACTGTCTTTCACTGCTGACACACACATATTACACAAGCACACACAAGCCAACTGGGTCCAGGCATGTGTTTTAGGGTGCCCACTTAATTAACCCCCTCCATCTTGCATGTCAGTTCTCTACTGGAGTTTTTGAGTTGCCAATGTTAAAAAAAACTACCGTAATCTTCTATATGTGAGGGTAAAAGATGTCCTGGTAATGAGAAAAAGGGCTTTGTCAACTTGTTTCAGCAAAACATGGAGGGAAATACATTGAGTCACATCAAAGCTAGATTTAAGGCATGTGATTCTTCTTCGGCATAGTGCCCGTTAGTAGTTAATGCAATTACTTTTAGGGAAATGTCCAGATGAAAGAAAACTAGTCTGGCATTCCATCATTATGGATTTATCTCTTTGCCTTTGGCAGGACTGAAGCGTTACACAATGCTTGAGGGATACATACAGTACTATGATGCACTGCAGATAAGATGTTCAATATTTGTTTTGTTTTGATTAATTACCTTTAGTAATAAATATTAATTTGTGTGTGTAATTTAAATTCAACGGACTGAAGTTGGACATGATTGATTTTACGTTGCAATTGATGTAAGTCTTTGATACAAGTCGATAGAATATTTCCACCAACAAAGCTGCTGCTTCCCTATGTAATGTATTGCTTTGGGTCATTAGCAAAACTGTTCAAATTGCTCACTAATGCCATCATTTCATTGGTCGATAATGTGTTTACCTATGGACTCCCACACATTGAATCCAAATCCAGAATAAAAAGCACACACCCTCACTTGAATTGACCTGCAAGGCCTTAAATGAGGCCTCTCTCTCTCTCTCTCTCTATCTCTCTCTCTCTCTCTCTCTCTCTCTCTCTCTCTCTCTCTCTCTCATCTCTCTCTCTCTCTCTCTCTCTCTCTCTATCTCTCTCTCTCTCTCTCTCTCTCTCTCTCTCTCTCTCACACACACACACTGGAGACTGTGTTCTGTTAACGGTGAGAGACTTCACTGTTTTCGTAGAGTTTGAGGCTGCTCGCTCTTGCAAAACTGAGGTCTGTCAACACACACACACATACCTGTCAGAAAGTACCAGCTTGGTATGAAAAATTATGAAGTATAAAGGTGTGAGCTTATTATAGAAATAAACTGAACCAAGGGAATAAAGAACATATATAGAAGATTTAAAATGTGGCCTTCTCAAGCACACGTCACCTCTTCAATAAATATCAAATGAATATTCGATTTTATATTTGATTGATTGTTAATTAATTATGATAAGTATGTTGCAGACTCATTCATTATCTGAATACCTAGGCTCCTGAATCTGGGGCTCTTAACTTGTTGCACAGAGGGACAGGAGGATAACCAAGGCCGTCCATCTATGTGTTTCAGTTAGGTACTACAATAATAGAACTACACTTAATCAGCTAGTAAGTAACCCTGAGCAACATTTAAAACATCCAAAACCAAAAATGTGGCTACTGGATGTAAAACTTTAAGAAAGTCTTGTCCCGCACATTAGGCCAGGCTCATGACTTAAGGTCACTTTCTCTATTAATGTGGAAAACTCTTGGTCACTAAGTTCACAATTGCAAATGTGTTTATTGGTGTCTAAGGATGTTTCCTCCATACATTTGTGTTGTTGCTCTCTTTGTGTTTTACATGTAAAAGTTGTTTTGAGAAAAATGCTTTACATATTAAGTTTGATGATGATGATGATTATTGCTGTGTGGTAGTAGTAGGCTACTACTCAAATTATTATTATTAGTCTGTTTCAAGCTAAGTTTCCATGTGCTAGTTTGATGTCAAAGTGTATAGGTCTATTCTGATAGCTGCTGTGTGATATAACTCTGTGTCTCTCCTTCAGCCTCGGTGCTCCATACCTGTTATTCCTGTCCTTCTCATTGACCTCCTCCTTCACCCCGTGCCTTATCCATTATCCGGACGATAGCAGCGTGTTTGGTGCAGCACGCCTGGAAGAAAGACAGCGGCTCGGGGCTTTCCGGAGAGGGGGTGCTTTCCGAGTCCGCGAACCACATCATCCGGCGGGTAGAAGGAGTCGTCCGACGCGATACTCCGACAGTCCTCCAAGTTATCAAAGTCCTCAAAATCAACTTCTTCGAACTCATCTTCATCGTTTTCCTCCTCTTCATCATCCTCCTCGCACGAGCCCAGGTAGTCCTCGTCATCACAGTGTGACCAGCGGCTCCTCCACTATGGTCGGGTGAACCTGGGTTGATGTTTCCCCGACCTTCTGCTGCCGCTGGAGGTGCTTGAGCCGTACCGACGAAGAGCCTCCTCCATCCCTGTCGTCCGTGATCAGTACCATCTAACCCCCGAGCCTAGGGCACTGTCCTCGGGGCAGAGTGCAGCGTGGGGCGCAAGGCGCGCGCATGGGACAGCCTGTTTCTCCAGACAACAGGGTAACCAAATGATCTACCTTCAAAAGTAATTTACGGGGGGCTAAATTACACAAACTCTTTCACCTGAATACCGGCCTATAGGTGAGAATGCTGCGTGTACCCACCAGTCATGTACGAGAGTTGACAGCCTGGATGTCCATCTGAGCCGTGAACGTCACATAAAGTATACTCTTTCTACACGCGCCCCTAAAACGAAACCATGTTCAGTTGGAGTTATCCGGTCCGGTAGCACTCGCAGGGAAATGAGATTCAGGCTTTTGCAGTGGGTAAAACTACAACAGAAAGTTAAAGTGCTGCGTACACGAGCGTCCCATGTAGAGAGACAGCATCCTGTAAACCTAGTCGCGTAATCCGATTAGATGGGACATCTCTCTCTCTCTCTCTCTCTCTCTCTCTCTCTCTCTCTCTCTCTCTCTCTCTCTCCTCTCCTATCTCTCTCGCTCTCTCTCTCTCTCTCTCTCTCTCTCTCTCTCTCTCTCTCTCTCTCTCTCTGTCTATTGACAAGAGATTCATTTTACTCTATAGAAGCAACCCTATAATAATCTTAGTATATTCATACAGGGCATTTTATTCAAAATTCAAATTAGTACAACTACAGTATTGAAAATTAATTCTTCTGAATTCTTTCTTTCGAGAAAATAATCCCCTACTCTATTTGTAAAAAATTATTTTTTACATCTTGATGGCATCACTTTTCTGTAAACTCACAGGGCTTTCCACTTTTCAGGTTTATAAAGCAGATTAAGTCTAAACAAAGGGATTATGATATTTTGTAATGTTTCTGGCACGTGGGTTACATTTTCTATTATCATATGTAGTATGATTCTGAGGCAATTCATTTTACCCACAGCCTCATCGTGTTCGGCCACCTTCCTCTCTCTCATTTTCTTGGCTACTGGCCAATTGAGATAATAGAGATATTCACCATCCAGACAATTGGTGTCACTGAGATATCATTTTGATATTGATCACATTACCAGCATCAGATTGGTTATGTCGTTCACCTGTGAATGAGTACATGCTGAGAGGTACATTTTGCATTCCGTTTTGATGTTACCTAACCTAACATTTATCTCATATTGTTGTTCTCACTATCCATAGAAAGGTAGAATAAAAAATAGTCACTAGATGGCCTTACTGTTTTGTCCATCTATTGAGAATGCATGGCTTTGCAGAGTTTTGTGTAAAGTCTGCAGTTCTGTCATAAACATATTTACAGAGACGCTCCTTTTTCTCTCCGTAATTAATAACATCAGTTTGCTGACATCACCTGCGGTGGAAAAATCGAGTGCATAACAGTCCCTGTGTGTACCCATTATTATTCTACCTTCATCTGCCCCCAGCTGAGAGCTCTGCTCTCCTGTGGCTCTTTATCTCTATGGTATCGGTCGCCAGCTGTGCGGGTGACAGACAGTGTTAGCTCTGCCAACGATATATATCTGAGCAATGTTGCACCGTCTGGTCAAGAGACACACACAAACACCAGAGAACCAAGTCTTAAAATAATTGTCTCTATCTTCTGTTCAAACCAGGTTTCTGGTGAAGATAGATGTAGGGAGATGGTTTTTAACACCATTTAAAATAAAATACCTTGTGACCTTGCTTATGAGTCTCTCATCAACTAAATCTTGCTGTAAATATTTACTAATATTAATTGATGTAAATGGAATAGAGAAATTATTAGAAACACCTCTCACTAAAAAATATGCTTCCATTAAAGAATGCTTTAAGCTAATATTGCTTGGTAATAAAGTGTTTTGGAGGATACTGAATAACTAGATCCAATTTAATTGCAGGAATCTACATTTTAGATGCAGAAAACAATGCAAACAGTACCTCGGTAACCACTTCATGAAGAAGACCTATGTTTGCTTTTTGTAATGCTCAATATTATTCTGTGATAATTATGTGATATGATTATTATGAATATGTTTTATTTATATTTTATTATTTATGTGCACTCTGAGGAACTTGTAGCTGTTCAACACATGGGTTCAACACCTCAACCTCCTGGCCTCTGATGCTAAGGGAGCATTTCCTGCTCCGCCTATAGACCAGCCCGAGCAGATTGGTTGGCTGACGTTGAACTGGAGGTGAGTGTAGTTGCACCAGCCAATGAAGCTCCTCCTCTGTACTCCTTCTCTTTGGCGTCTGTGATGTAGCTGACGCTGGAGAACTTCTGTAAGTGGCATGAACTGGGGTTGAAGAAGAAGTCAGAGGGTGTACAGGAAAGGTGACCTTGGGGGGGGGGGAAGTATTGCTCACCAGCACATTTGTCAGTTGCTCTGCAGTTCTGAGGTCTGCTTGTGAAGTAGTCCTTGATCCAAACCACCAGGCTTACAGCTTTTCGGTGAGCAGGTGTGCAAAGTATACTATGTCATAAATTTAAAAAAATCGACTATGCATTATTTCGACATGTTTTGTTTTACTATGTCCAAATAAGGCATGGTATAGTATGTCCAGTATGTAGTTTGTAGACGAAGAAGATGTACCTTTATTGATTACTGTCTATAACGTGATGAAATACACTGAACAAAAATATAAATGCAACACTTTTGTTTTTGCTCCCATTTTTCATGAGATGAACTCAAAGATCTAAAACATTTTCTATAAACACAAAATAACCATTTCTCTCAAATATTGTTCACAAATCTGAAAAAATCTGTGATAGTGAGCACTTCTCCTTTGCCGAGATAATCCATCCCACCTCACAGGTGTGGCATATGAAGATGCTGATTAGACAGCATGATTATTGCACAGGTGTGCCTTAGGCTGGCCACAATAAAAGGCCACACAAATGTTCAGTTTTATCACACAGCACAATGCCACAGATGTCGCAAGTTTTGAGGGAGCGTGCAATTGGCATGCTGACAGCAGGAATGTCCACCAGAGCTGTTGCCCGTGAATTGAATGTTCATTTCTCTACCATAAGCCGTCTCCAAAGGCGTTTCAGAGAATTTGGCAGTACATCCAACCGGCCTCACAACCGCAGACCACGTGTAACCACACCAGCCTCCACATCCAGCATGTTCACCTCCAAGATCGTCTGAGACCAGCCACTCGGACAGCTGCTGCAACAATCGGTTTGCATAACCAAATAATTTCTGCACAAGCTGTCAGAAACCGTCTCAGGGAAGCTCATCTGCATGCTCGTCGTCCTCATCGGGGTCTCGACCTGACTCCGGTTTGTCGTCGTAACCGACTTGAGTGGGCAAATGCTCACATTCGATGGCGTCTGGCACGTTGGAGAGGTGTTCTCTTCACGGATGAATCCCGGTTTTCACTGTTCAGGGCAGATGGCAGACAGCGTGTGTGGCGTCGTGTGGGTGAGCGGTTTTCTGATGTCAATGTTGTGAATCGAGTGGCCCATGGTGGTGGTGGGGTTATGGTATGGGCAGGCGTATGTTATGGACGACGAACACAGGTGCATTTGATTGATGGCATTGTGAATGCACAGAGATACCGTGACGAGATCCTGAGGCCCATTGTTGTGCCATTCATCCACGACCATCACCTCATGTTGCAGCATGATAATGCACGGCCCCATGTTGCAAGGATCTGTACACAATTCCTGGAGGCTGAAAACATCCCAGTTCTTGCATGGCCAGCATACTCACCGGACATGTCACCCATTGAGCATGTTTGCGATGCTCTGGATCGGCGTATACGACAGCGTGTTCCAGTTCCTGCCAATATCCAGCAACTTGGCACAGCCATTGAAGAGGAGTGGACCAACATTCCACAGGCCACAATCAACAACCTGATCAACTCTATGCGAAGGAGATGTGTTGCACTGCGTGAGGGAAATGGTGGTCACACCAGATACTGACTGGTTTTCGGACCCACCCAGACCCCCCCAATAAAGCAAAACTGCACGTTTCAGAGTGGCCTTTTATTGTGGCCAGCCTAAGGCACACCTGTGCAATAATCATGCTGTCTAATCAGCATCTTGATATGCCACACCTGTGAGGTGGGATGGATTATCTCGGCAAAGGAGAAGTGCTCACTATCACAGATTTTTTCAGATTTGTGAACAATATTTGAGAGAAATGGTTATTTTGTGTACATAGAAAATGTTTTAGATCTTTGAGTTCATCTCATGAAAAATGGGAGCAAAAACAAAAGTGTTGCGTTTATATTTTTGTTCAGTGTAGTATTCTACACTATTTAATTTTTTGCATCGACAAAGTAGAGCCTTTCGAAAATATCAGGAAAAACAAAATAATTTCGTATGTTGAAATTATCAAAAAATGACGAATTATGTCAGAAAAAGTAATTGTACAATGTGTAGAAAAATATGGGAAACAGTCTTAAAATAGAATGTTGAAACATTTATCAATGAGTCAATAACATACACATAATGAAAACGGCCATGCTTTATGTTCCTGGGTCTAGTAATGACAAGTTAAAAATGCATAGGTTACTGAAACATGAATGCACTGAACATTGTCCCCAAAGTGGTTGTTTCAAATACTTCTCTGACTATCCGCACATAACGCATGTACACATAAATAGCAGCAAAATATTCTCTACACAAAGAAATGATTGCTCTTAAGTCATGATGATTTTATTTGTATTGATCATTAAAGGGGACCTATCATGCAAAATGCAATTTTGTATGTCTTTTAAACATCAATATGTGTCCCCGGTGTGTCAGGGAACTCACCAAGTGTCAAAACACAACCCTCTCTCTTTTCCTCCATACCAAAATCTCTAAAAACGGGGCTGCAACGGAGCTGATTATTATTTGAATTTTTCTGACGTCAGAAAAGGGGTGCTATATGGGCAACTCTCCACCTATCAGGGGGATGAGAGACCGCTGGAGACGCTGTAGTACATATGCCAGGCCTGTAATGGCACATTTCCACTGCAGCAGGGTAGCCCCGTTTAAGCGTCCCTAAGCGTCCTCGCTCAGGCCTCGGGCTGCCTCGCTGGCCGTCCGAGGCCGTGGCGCATTTCCATTACAGTTTAGGACCTGGGGTAGCAACGCAGTGTAGGCGGGGCGATCTGTGCAGAGACATCCTGGAACACTTTCACATTTCGAGTTGTTCCGTCGAGCTCCCGCTGGATTTGATCATCCCCAATAAGATGTAGGAACGTTGTCACCTTCTCGGTCGACCACGTGTGCTTTTCTTTGACGTTGCCATTTTTGTAGCTCCTCCGTTTACAACAATTCTGCATATAAAAATGCTGCAAGCTTGCTTCTAAATATATATGCGACGCTAGGGATGATCTCGCGCACGATCTTGTGACGATTCTCTCTGACCAATCAGCAGTCGAGAGTGTTGACGTCACTAGTTCAGCCCTGGCCTGATAGAACCACGATTTTATGGGGCCGGAAAAAGAGGGAAAAAGTACTCGCTAGCCGGTGCTATCCGAATCAGCCCTTGCAAAAACAGGGCTGGAAAAGAGCAAATAGAGCGAAAGGGTCCACTTTAATACATTTATAAGATCACTCTTGGTTTATAAATGCTAGCATCCCAAATGAACTTAATGAGCATATTGACCTTGGTGCTGGTAGGTTTAGACAAGCTTCTGCAGTCATTCCCCATTTGGTCGTTTATATATTCCCCCTAAAACCACAAGCAGCCAGAACACACCAACACACCATGGACTCTTCGATGGCATACCCCAAGCAGGAGTGCAATACAAAGATCCCTGTGATCTCTTCTTGACACAAGTACTGAACTGTTTAGGTTTTTGTGGTGTGTGTGTGTGTGATGATAATTGTGAGTGTTTACAACAAGGTTTTAATGGGTCCGCTTGTGTCTTAGATTTCCCAGAAAATTATGTTTTTCCACTTCATAGGAACGACTTAATGTAGTGATTATTAGTAGAGTGATTAGAAACACTTCATATATTATTACTCAATCAGTTCAACACTTCAATTCAGGGACAGAAAAAGCTTTCACTGCCAGTTGAATAAGAGCAATCGAATAGTGGTAATTAACTAATTTTAATCAGCCAGCAATGGACCATGATTTTGTGTGATGTGTGTTCATGTGTGTAAGAACAACGCCCAAATACAGCCTGGCCAAGTCAGCATTATGTATAGCTCGTCCCTCAAATGCTGTTAGAGGTATACAAAATACAATACAAAGATACCTAGATTGAAACATCTCACTGTGATGGTGAGGAATAGTGGGGAATGCAGAAGTGCTTTGAACTGTCATTATCCCACTAGCTCAAAGAAAGAACATCTCTTGTAATACAAAATAATTACATCTTTTCACTAGGAGTTCAGGTCTCAATAATTAATTTGACATGTGCCAATCTGTGTCACTGTGTGAGATCATTGTTCCATAAAGAAGATAATGGGGAAGTGTGCTTCATTGACAGGTCCCTATCATATGCTGCCTTGGAGATTTCTGCTCGCTCATCCCACCTCAGCACCAAGATAATGTGAGTTGTAAACCCAAATCCAGCGCATTAGTTATTAGACACAGAGTAGTGAAAGGTGTTTCGGTCTCACCCATAAACAAATGCATCAACATGCTGACTGCATGTTGTGCATGACTGCATGACTGTGTCAATGTTGTTCACATAATTGTTATTCCGCTCGTGAGGTTGCTCTGGCAAAGTTTGACGAAGCATGAGTCGTTGAGTCGATATCATCCTGATATATGAAGTCTAAAGGTTTAATCATCCCGTGTTGGAGCTCCCTGGGGAAAAAAGCAAGTTGTTAGACATCTATGACTTGAATGTATACATTGTAAGCAATAAGTAAACAATTAAAAGTTCACAAGGTGCCTACAAAAGAGCAACACTTGCAGGCTGTATAGCAACTTGTTGTGTTTGGTCAATTTGTCTCTTCCTGGTGTACATGTCTCTTTTGGGTAAAGTTAGATAACTCTAAAACTAACACATACTAACTCAAACAGCCGTGCCTTACAATAGATCTAGAGTACAGTATTTGCTGATTGATAAAATATCCATGTTCTACACAACATGCATCATGTTTTCCCTCATCCTTACCCTGCAGTCTGTTACACAACAGCTTTAGAGACGAAAGCTGAAATGGAGCCTTTGTGTCCATTCTCTCTTCTCCTGTCTTTCTCACACGGCTCTGCTACATTTGTCGTGTCCCTGGAGATGTGATGTTGAACAAAGCTTGAAGAAACAGTGAAGGGTTGTGCAACATGGTCCACCCTGGAGCAGAGATTCCTGAGACCCTGACATCTTTGCAATGACATCATGTTTCTCCCAAGTAACACCATCCTTAAACAATGGGGCACACATTTCTGAAGCTGTACTGTATGACCATTGTACTGGAGAGAGGATGGACCTAAACGTAACTTTTAGTGGTATAGACATGGTATAGGATGGGCCTACACATATTTCATTTCATTTCAATGTATTTGAGAATACTGTTGTGACTTTTTTAAGGTCTGTAAATACAGATTTGTAGGTGTTTTTACTTAAACTTGTTGTCTTCGTGTTATAATAAATACATGGTAATAAGCTCCACGGTGGATTGTCTAGGTAAATCTCAAGAATTTAAAGTACAGTTTATTACTTTGAAAGAAATGCAGAGGTAAAAAGGGTTATTGAAAAAGAAAAAGGCAGTTTCTAAAGTGAGAATCTACATTATTTTGTGGTACTTTCTTACACTAAAGAAAGTACCTATCTATCACTGAATGAATCTTGCAACAGAAAGTGCTTCCTTACAGTTAAAATAATTACAGCACAAAGACTTTTGAAGTCATAAGGTTTGTGTTGGGCATGTCAGCGATGCTCATTACTGCAACCTCCCATACTTCCCTGTCCACTGGAAAGTACCAACTTGGTATCAGGGACTTTCTGTGGAGAAGAAACTATGGCCCCGGAAGTTCCTGATCTTATTTAAAGTTTCAGGATTCCCGGTAAAGTTATTGCAGGTTTAGGAACGCTGGAATCAAAGTTTAAATGTAATTATTCATTTGCAAATAATGTTCTGAAACATGTTTCTTAAGGTTGTTATTCAAGTTTAAAATCGCAGTTGTTTGTAAGGCTGTAATGCTAAATCTTTGTTAGCTCATATCTCAGTTTCACCTGAATAAAAACAATCTGTTTTTCGCCCTGACAAAATGTCCTTTTTACGCTGCATCATTTGGGTGGATAGCCTGCAGTTTTAATGGATTCCATCTGTCCTTACTTCCCCTTTGACTCTCTTTCAGCTAAGATTCTGCGAGGGGTAAGCTTGTTTCCTCCACCCCTACAACCTACTGCCAACTGCGCCTGAACTGGGAATTCCCACTGATCGTGTTTCCTGTCCTGCTCGATAAAATACAGAGTTTCACAACTACAGGTTTAAGTATCTGTGTGTAAGGGGAAATAAACAAGTGTCATATTGAGCCTATGTGACCACAGATTGTGCTCTCAAACTGACATGAAACAGCATATATTAATTATGATAGATTGCGTGTGACATTTATGCATACGGGTGTGAACTTTAGAGATTTCTTGGTCCTCCATGTGATTGTGTGTGCTTGGAGACGAGGGTAATAAACCTGTATGAGTGTGCATTTGAACTTGCCCATTACAAATATTGCACGGAGGAGTGAACAAAACACTGGGGGGGGTTTTAGCTCTTTAACACAAGATGAAAAACACGCTCTTGTGACCTCGGAGCTTATCTCCTCACCTCTCCTCTTTCCCATCTGCTGGGTGAAATGAATACAGGAGAGAGGCCAAGTGCTGCGAGGTTGCAAGCTGAGGTTGTGTGTATGACAGAATAACTAGCAAACCCAGACATAAGGGAACAAGCAATAAAAAGCAAACACCTGACAGTTTGGGTAAGGCAGCTTTGTGCCTCTCATGCTGCTCATTAAAAGATTCCAGCCTGACTCAAAATAGCAGCCTTGTTCTGTTGGGCAGTGATGAATAATAACCCACTGTGTCTGATGCTAACAATTAATGGGCCCAATTTCTAAGTAATGAAACAACAGCTGTGCTTGAAGGAGCATTAGCACGCCCATTTATTAATCAAACGCTATCATTGTGTGGCTTCTCTCCCTTTCTTTCCTATCTTCCATTGCTTGCCATCGCTCCTTCGCTCACTTCCTGCTGATGCAGAAGTTGGAAACCTGAATCATGCCGTTCTGCTTGTTGCTGTCGGGAAGAGAAACCAGTGCAACAGCTCATGTCAGCAGCATAAGGATTTCACACCAGTGAGTATAGCTCTTATAACTCTTAAACACTGATGTTTAAAGCAGTGTTCAGCGCATCTCGAGTCATCAGTGCAGAAAAACAGTTTACCTTTAGACTACTGTCGTTTTGAATGTATTTCCTGCATTTATTAAATTAAATATGTCTCTTATCAATTATGACATGTAGTTTTGAAATGCTGGTCAGCAATTCCGCTGTTAATTGAATGTTCATCAGCAGCTCCCTGTATGATTAAATAAACGAGGGGAAATGAAACATTCTGGTAGATGCCACATGAGGGGTTTTAAGGTTACATAAGTCTCCTGTTGCCTCTCGGTTATTACTTGCAGATATCATATGACCTTGATGAATTAATAAAATAAGGAATTTGTATGAGATTTGACTGGAGCTGTATCCAAGGGGAATTGATTCAAATGAGAAAAATAATTAGGCTGTTGGAGAAAAAAATAAGTGGGTAGCATCCCTGTTGTTGATACATATAAAACAGCCTCATTTTCCACCGCCTACATCCACTCTGCTTATTGCAAGTTGAAGTATGCCTCGTTTTCATGAGCATGCTGACAGCTATAATGCTGAGGAGAATGGACACACACACAGATAACACTTACACTTGTTGTTGCAGGCTGCTGAGGAAGTTGTCGATGTGTTGCTGTGGCATGTCTCCGTCCAGTTGAGCCAGGAAGGTGTAGAGTTTGACGAAGGTGTCGAAGGGGATCCTCGCAGCACCGCCCTCCTCATCCTCTGTCAGGATCTCACAGGCAAACTTCAGAGAACTCACGAGGGTCTGAGGATGTGGCAGAAACAAGAAGCTGACAATTTGTCAAAAGAAACAGACACACAAATACATAAATGTGTTTTCAGCATTCAAGGACGGTCACGTCTTGTTGGAGCATCACACACTTATATACAAGTATACTTATTATCCCCACACACACACACACACACACACACACACACACACACCACACACACACACACACACACACACACACACACACACACACACACACACACACACACCACACACACACACACACACACACACACACACACACACACACACACACACACACACACACACACACAAACCACACACACACACACAAAAAACTAATTCAGTGCAGAACATGACTGCCCTCATGTGGTCAAAACATAAACAATCTCATAGTATAAGCATCCTTTCCAAAGTACTGACACTGAGCACATAATGCTGCTAATGCTGAGCTGCACATGCTTTTGCAGATTCTACGTAATCGTCTGTAAAGTTCTTCTTTGAGAAATTCTCCCTAATCTGTCTCCACTGCTCTATCTGCAACTTTAAAGCGAAACCATTGACTTAAAGGCATCACAAAGATTTCAGTATTCCAGTATTATCTTTAGAGCCTGGGGACCTTAATGGGGAAGTCTGGATCACTAGACTTCCCCATCTAGACTAACCCTAAACCCTAACCCTCTCTAAACACTGGAAAACTAGACTGTGATATTGAACAAAGAAAAACACTATAGGACCTCCAGTTGTGCTTTACCTCACAGAATGTTTTTTAAAACTCAAAGGAAATGGTATCAAGTGGTGTTATCAATTATATCTGGCCTTATGTAACAACTCACCCCTCCCAGAGCACTGCAGCCCAGAGAGAAAACTCCATCCAGACGATGTCTGAGCCAAAGCTGCCCAGCAACAGCAGGCTCTCCAGCTGATCCACGGGGAGACACAGGCCCTTCCACTTCTTCTGCACTTCCTCCTTGCTGCATGTTTTCCTGGGGGCCAGCTGAGCGGGGAGGAAGTGTCGGTTTAGGGGAGATAAGGAGGACAAAGGAGGACAAATGAGGTTATCTAGTTTACCAGATGAGTGTAAAAATCCCACTGTTTTATTTGTTGAAATAAACTTCAGTACTGGAGCTATAGGGAATCACACAGCCGTACTAATGACCTATTTATCAGCAAGATTTTCTTTACCGGTGGATTTTTCTGTATGGTCAGCTTTGTAATTAAGACACAGCTACAATGTATTGCTTTAGTATCCCAGAGCAACAGGACAATTTGGGGCCATAAAGGAAGCAGACTTTTTAATTAAGTAAACAGAATTTAAATACTAAGATAACTGACATAAAAACTGAACGAGATGGCTTCCTGGAAAGATTAAAACTGTTGCTAAAGTGTCGGCCTTTAAGGAAATATTAAATATTCAGATGCTTTAATGAATCCACCACACCAAAATGCCAGTACAAGCCCCAGGTTATGTTTACTATAATATGAGACTTTAATGATTCACGTGAGGAAACAGCATGAGTGGAATATGCTGATACACACAGAAAAGCATGGATACTAAACTTAATGCAGCTATTAATTACAAAGTACAGTATTACTAGCCTGTACCTGGCATTCAAACGGTAAAGCACAGTGGAAAAATGCAATTTATTGATTTTCTTTCAACAGCAACAACATAAGGCAAACGATTATGTGATACATTCTATGAGATTAGGCCCTGATGAAGAGGAAGTACCTGTTTGTGAAGAGTCTTGAGTAGACCTGGAGTCAGCCCTGTGTCAGTTCTCTGGGTGGCGGCATTCATCTCCAGCCTGTCCTTGACTGGCAGACACTCTCCTTTAGACAGCGCACTGAAGTATCTGAGAGAGGACACACACACACACTTACATAAACACACACATACACACACACACAAACATACACACACCTAAGCACCATTCCAATCAGATAAAGTCACAAAAGCAGACTATGTGCAATGATGCATACATAGACATTAGTCCAATTAAGAAATGATGTTTTTAGGACCATCAGTTGACTAAATTATGAGTAGTTTGTCTTAAGTTTAACGATTTGCATTTTGCTAAAACGGCATATTTATCTTCACAGTTTAAACAAGGTTTTCCTTCAACTTTAGAGCATTTCAGCATCAGAGGCGGCAGAGCCTGGTGTTACTTTAATAGCATCTAAACATCTTGTAACCCAGGAGACATTTGAGTTGTTTTTGTTTCACCATATGGCTCGCTTTATTGTCTTTTGCTGTAAACACTGCCAAGCTACATTGGCCAATTAAATAACAGATGATATGAGAGTCCTGAGGGGAACAAACACACACTTTATCTTTCAATTGCATCCAGTACTTTCAAAGAGATTTTTCTTAGTTAAGAACGTCAGATAGTTTAACCGCTGCAGTAACACGGAGGCCCCTGGGATCCAATTACAGCCAGTCAATGCACAGATGAGATGCACAGGTGAAAAGGGCCTGTCTTTTCATTCAATGATGCAGCCAGTGAGTTATGCTTTCTTCTAAAGAGATCAAGGTTGAACTAAAACACTTGCAACAATCCCTTTCAAGACAGATTTAAACTTACGCCGCAGACCACACCAGCAAATCCTTGGGCTGTGTACGGATGGCTGCCTTAGTGAAGTTTTTCAGGATGTCTGGCAGCTCGGGGGGGATGTTGATTTGCTGGGAACAGTACATTGTGTCTGGAAGAGGCATGGCTGCAATATAAAACATTGCATTATAGTTAAATTAGCAGATGAGATGTGTCAGATAGCAGATCCAAGAGGGATGGGAACAACTGCAGCCTGCCAGCCACTTAAAACTAAACAAGGAGACAAAAACCACTACATTAACATTTTTTATTTTTACTTAACTATCCAATGTTGCTATTACATACAGTTGAAGCTGAATGTGGAGACAAAGGACATTATCTAAACACGTTTAAAAAACATACAAGCTCGAAAAGCTACATATGTGTATTACTCTTTTATTATAAAGAACTGCATAATGAAATGTCCCATGTTGGAGAAGATCCTGTTTAAACAGCAATATCATTGTGGTTCTTAACCTGACATAATACTTCTGATAGCTCATATTTTTAATACATCTTTTTGTGAGGCTTTTGTTAAAGATAATGTAACGTCCGGTTAACTAGGAATACACATCTGGCTGTTATGAAAAGCATACAGAAAATCGATTACAAATACATTTAGCTATTGAACGTCAAATGGATTGTTTACGTCAATGCTACCGGACACAAACTAAGTAGCCAAACGGCACTTTTACAACTCATTTTAACTGTCGTAATATATTGCGAAATTAAGTAACATTACCTGGATAGTTGAACAATAAATGTGGAAAGAAAGGCTCGAATAATGTTATAACGCAGTTGTGATGTGTGTTGCGTCGCGTAGCAACGGCGTTCTTCTTCTGCAGGATAGCTGTGATGCTGCGTGAAGCGCTCTGCTGACCCCTTGTGGTGAGCAGAGTCAGTGGACAAAACACATTTCATGTTTCAACAATTCCATATTTATTAACTTCCATCCATCCATCCATCCATCTTCTCCCGCTTATCCGTGGTCGGGTCGCGGGGGTAGCAGTTCCAGCAGAGAGCCCCAAACTTTCTTTTCCCTGGCGACATCAACCAGCTCTGACTGGGGGATCCCAAGGCGCTCCCAGGCCAGCGAAGAGATATAATCCCTCCACCTGGTCCTAGGTCTACCCCTTGGTCTCTTCCCAGCTGGACGTGCCTGGAACACCTCCCTAGGGAGGCGCCCAGGTGGCATCCTAACTAGGTGCCCGAACCACCTCAACTGGCTCCTTTCGACGCGAAGGAGGAGCGGCTCAACTCCGAGTCCCTCCCTGATGACCGAACTTCTCACCTTATCCCTAAGGGAGACACCAGCCACCCTGCGGAGAAAACCCATCTCGGCCGCGTGTATTTATTAACTTAATTTAACTAATTTGCACAAATAGGGCTAGCCTTCCAATGATAAGATTATTTGCAGCTGTCATGCCCAGGACATTTGCATACAGGCATAATAACACATCTTATTTCTATGAAGTGTGGTTTTTCATATATTAAGACGGTCTATTGTGAACTGTAACATAAAAGTGATAAAACTGGTGACAAAATAAATTGGGTGATTCACATTCGGACACAAATCATGACAGATACCATTCTGTGTCAGCATACACATTTATTGAAGTGATGCCATGAAACATCATCAAGATTTTATTATTAAACGGCTTCTTGAAAATACAGGTTTACACAGACTGTGATTAGAAAATAATAGTACAACTACCAGTATTTGGTAACCAAACAGACATGGACAATTAAAAAAAGTAACTATAATAGACCAGAGACAAATTCATTCATGCACATTCACACAATCACTGTCAGGTCAAATACGCCAGTGCACATTTAATCTAGCACAAGTGGAATAGGTAGAATCTGCTTGTGAAATCCCTTTTAGATTCAACTAACTTAAGATGTAATGGGAGTCATGTTATACAATCACAGCGTTCCCTCTCGCAAGTTCCTACGCTGGGCTAAATTAAATGTGTCTAAAAAGTCATTATAAAAATGATAAGGATGGAATCTACCAATAACAACACAGGTTATGTGGATTACATAATGGACTAGTAAGGTGCTAGTCCCCCTTTTCCCCTTCCCAGTGTCATCTCTTTCTCCACTTGATACAAAAATAAAGCTGTTCTTCCCCAAAAACCCACCCTGGACACTCCTGTGCCTATAAAACTATTCAGGATCAGATAGTACTCCTCATCAACACCTTCTGGCAGGAACTACACTGTTCCAGACTTGTTCCTTTTTATATCATCTTACCCTTCCTGGACGAGGCCTCAGCCGATCTATCATTAGACTTTAAATGCAGTTATAAGTTTGACAGAGTTTAGGTAAACTATTGAAAAAATTGTCCTCCTCAAAGCACATCAATATTCAGACCAATGACATTCCTTAAAGATAACTGAACTATAAAAAAGAGATCTGTCCATGGCTGGGATTCCCACGAGTATTGTAGCGCTACAGATTGTAATGTGCAGGCAGCATGTTTGAGATAATGCAAACTCATATTTGAAATTATGCAAAGACTATTTTTAAGTTTTCCTTGAACTCCACTGTCTAGCAAATGTATTTAGTTGCCGGGCATCCAAAAGACCAAGGTCATTGAAGTGTCTAATCTAATGAGAACATGTGAGGAGCAACACTTTAGGACTATAGACAGTTGTTAGAAAGATGTTTGTTGGTCATAGATTTTGGTTTTCTCAATGTTTATTTAGTACATACCTCAATGTGATTTTAAAGTGTGATCCTGTGATTTATGGTTGTTTCAATCAAAGCCTGGATCATTTAATCTGGTTAAAATGTTCTTTGTTCTGTAGTTGGATAGTGATTATTAAAGCACTGATATGCTTCTGGGAGACCAGGCCTTACCCGCTACAGACACCAAGCTAGTCAGTCAGGGTTGAAGTGTTTGTGGTTTTATCTCTTGCCCCTTTTGTTACCAGCAGGGGGTTTCTTGAGCTGGAGGAGGGGTGTTTGGCCGAAGCCTGCAGCCGCCGGGTTAGACACGCCAAAGGTCAGGCCAGCCGACGTGTTGAGGCCAGGGTTACTGAAGTTAAATCCTGAGGTGCTGCTGCTACCGAAACCTAGAGAAAACAAGAGAGAGGACGCAGGACAAAAAAGACAACAATATATTAGAGAAAACAAAAGTAATGGAGCAATTAAAGAACAAGAATAAAGGTTATCCAGATTCCAGCATTTGCTAAATTTTGAACAGAAGTCGTCCAACCCAATATCCCGAAATGCCCAAACTGCCAGCGCACTTAGCTAAAAGACTTACTACAAGGATAACGTTGTTGACCAAGCCTACTAGCAGAGAGGAAACCAGAGAATCTCATTACACTGACTGTATCTGCACATTGCTCACAGTAGCTTGACTTTTCTTGATGACGCTTACTCAAAATGTTCTCAATTCAGAGAGTACACTTTCAAACACAAGCCTGCTCAGACTCAGCTGTACTGTAATGCGTTGGGGCCAGGTGTGAGTGAAGGGGGGTGTATACAGTATGATGTACCTGCACTCAGACTGCCTCCTGTGGGCTTACTGGTGGAGAAGGCAAAAGAAGACCCCCCAGTCCCCACCCCACCAAATCCTGGCCCACCAACAAAACCTGTGGGAGAGAGTGACATGGAAGTCAGTTTGAGCTAATCACAAACTACACTAGGAGCAGTGGCTCGGGAGTACACAAACACATCTAAGTCATTCCATGTCAAATCAGATTTTTGTTGGTTTTAAAACTTAAATAAATAGTACATCATCTACGCCTCTATCAGCAAATTATTTATTTTAATCAATTTATTATTTGAAAAACAATAAATTATTGATCAGCTTAAGTTATTATAATTTTTTTTTGTCCATAACTTATTTTTAAAAGTGTGACCAAATATCTAATTAGGAGGGGGGCTGCCTAATTTATCTTTTTACTTTAAAAATGGGCCAGTAATTAAAAATATTACATATGCTTATGCCTTTGTGTGCCCCTACCAATTGTTGTGTCTAACAGTATCATGTATACACCTTTAAAATGTCCTTCTCTTAATATTAGGGAGTTAAAATTCCAAAATTCTCATGTGCAACAAACTTTGTAAATCTGTGGAATACTTTTTGTCGTCAAATAGCATAGAAATTATTTAAAAAATAAGTAAACAAAAGCCTCCATCACATTTGACATGAAATAACCCATATGGAAAACAGATTATGCGAACCCTAACCGATAGAGCCCTCCACAGCTTAACCTCTGACTGGAGACTCAGCGGGGCAAAGCAAAGGCCGAAGAGAGAAAAACGTAATGAGAAGGAAAACCAAACACATCGACTACATGAGAACACGCACCTGGTGTGCGCTCAGACCACTTTTTCCAACACTGCCCAGATACTTTTAGCTGTTGCAGCCAAGTGGATATGCCAGGTGACATCCAACAGTAAGTTGCATTTCTTTAGCAATGTTTTGGTGACCTGTGGCAAATGTTTGCTCAGTTTTTCTTGTGGTGTGAACGCACTTGACCACCTGCGCATGGAAGAACAGAAAAAAAAAACACTGCCAAGCTTTAACTGCACCAATCTCACACACACTGCCTACCACTACTTTCATTCAGGAGAACACAAAGACCTCAAACACAAGGGCTTCTGGGGAAAGCTAGGCATTAGGACAACTGTCTACGGTGTAAGGGAAGGGCAAAACAGGGAAATAAATTTATAAAAAAAAGAGGTTATACCTCCAAGGGTAGAAGAGCCCAAGCTAGTGCCCACTGCCGAGGCAAAGGGGTTTCCGAACCCTACCCCCAAGGGTGCCTGGGTCCCTATGGCACAGAGAGAGAGCATATGCTTTACTCCTCTAAATGTGTGTGTTCAAAATCATCATCTCCTTTGACAGAAAAGTTGGTAAAGACATTCATTATGAAAAGGACATGTAATTTGTGATTTTATATCAAGATTCAAGTTTCCCCATGTATGTTATACCTCGCAAAAACAGAATGTCTGCAACATATAGTGGTAGCGTTTGAATATCACAAGATTACAGTGCTCAGTGCTTAAGAAATATAATGCAACAGTAGAACTGCCTTGAGAAAATGCTATTACAACTGCAGTCAGCAAATACTATGTTACCAATAAATGATATTACATCTTTTTTTAAACCAATAACATTCCAGGTAATGAATACAACGTGGAAAATGTGCTGCTAGTTCTTTCACTCAGAAACTTGTCTTTTTTCCTTAATGCATTTTTTTCTTTTATGTAATCAAATTTGATAAAGTTTCCAATTATATATTGCATTGTTAAATGAACTTCAGTCGAAAAAGAAACAAGGACAACCGTTTCTTTGTGTAAAAATTGATTTATTGTCAATTTAATATGCAATTCCACTGACATAAAACACAAACAAACATTTTAGAACATAACTGATTGTTAATTGCTAACTGCTACTGCATTTGACAAGTTTCCAAATTTTCAAGATTTCTGAGAGTGAATGAACTAGCATACGCCAAAAAAAGAAAAGAAATGCATCACACAGTTATTGAATATAGCTTAAAAGGCACACCATATTATATATTAAATATACTGTATCAACAGGCATTGGTTATATAGGTTTAAACACATTCCTCTACAGGTAAAAGCACTCGAGATTTAGATAAGAAATGTGGATTTGGCATCTGCCGCAGTGTAAACTCAGTGATATGTTAGTTAGCCTGTGGAAGTCATTGTTGTCACGTGAATATAATGAGCTGTGTGTGTGAACCCTTTTAACCAGTGTATTTAAAGACATTACAACCCAATTCTAGTTGTTTTAAACACAAACCTGCAGCTTGAATTAATTTACGCATGATTGCAGGCTACAAACACTCTTTGTATGGACTCGGATCAAGTCTGATTTGTTGAGGTGACATGTA